AGCAGCCCAAACCTCTACAGAGCGCAACGTCAGCTGGCGTGAAGAGACGTATGAGCTGCATGAAAGCCTTCGTGGCCGCCCCTCGGCCCTCGGCAGCTCCCGCGGGCCGGAGCTGTGGAGTAACCGTGGCAGTGTCCCAGCTGTGGCAGCTGGGAGAGCACCGAGCAGGACTGACGAGGTGGATGAGCGAGGGCTGGGACACAAGCACAACCGTCCTGTGGTTCTGATGGTTTAACCCGTTGCCGTTCGGGTGAGCAGAGGTGCTCCTCTGCCCTTGGCAGGGCTTCCGTGGGAGCACGGGCACCTCCGCCCGTGTGACCAGTTACGGTGTGCACTCGGAGGCGCGAGGAGACACGCACTGCACACAGTCTGCTTAGGCTGCTGGGTCAGCTCAGCTCAGGGGTATGGAAGGGAACATCCCAGATGTTCTGTGTTTCCTTGGCTGTGGGGTAGGTTTCCGCAGTCCGTTCTGAGGGCCCACACCTGAGAAAGATGCTGAGATGGGTGTTGAGTGCTGGGCTTTACCCTTCTTGTAGTTGGATCGGATGAAGTATCACAGTTAGAGTCTTCCCCCCGCCCTTTTTTTTTTTTTTAATAACAGGATCAGTCATGAGCGTTATTATTTCTGGATCTTATCTTATTTAACAGGACTATCCAGGTTTGGAGGAGTGATGCAAGTTGTGCTTGCATCCTCTCCCAACAAAGCAGTTAAACGTAGCTGTGAAACGGGAAAAGGTTCTTGCTCGCTGTTGGGAAGTGCTCGATGCGAGTCCATTGCTCGTAAGTGTTTTGTAGCTGGCGGCTGCTGTCTGGCTGCCCTCTGCGCTGGCTGTGGCGGGACCGGTGTGTGTTTCGTCGTGGTGCTGCAGAAGGCGCCCGAGGTGGCACAGGGCCGGGCGGGTGAACTGGCTGGGCGGGATGACGAGGGGCTGCTGCCCTTTGCAGCTCACCCCTGCTGTGTGCACCGCTATGGAGAGGCTGGTGAGTAACCTCCGGGAGCTGCACCAGGTCACCCTGCTGGTGTCTGCACCAGCGGGGCTTGAACTGGCTGGTTCTGCCCTTTCTGCAGGCTGTGTGCGCGCAGAGGAGCTCTGCACAGAGCCCTGCGGGGGCGGCCGAGGCCCTGGGATGGTCCTGCAGCTCCGTCCCTGCCCGGGCTCGTCCTTGGCGCTCCGATCCGTGGGCCGCTGCCGGCGCTTGGTCCGTGCGCCCTCCCGGCCTGCCCGTTCCCTGCAGCTACAGGACACCAGGGCCGTGCTCTCAGTTTGGGGAAGGAAAAGGGAGCTCGTTTGCAGGGGTCGGGGTGACTATTCCATGGCAAAGATGGGAGCTGTTTCTAATACAAATGGGGAATTTAATATATAAACTGGAGGGCCATTCCTGTCTTGCTTTGCCTTGCTGTGAGCTACTGGAGCTATTTCTTTGGGAAAGACCCATTTCAACCACAGCCAGACTGTGGACTGAGGTAATTATTAGAGAGGCGAATGGGGCAGGACTGCTGCTTTTCTTCCCTCTTCGAGAGCTTCCTGTGCAGATTTCCCATCCATTTGTAACCTTGAAGGCATCCAAGGAGGTCTGGAAAGCTGGCGAGCAGACRGTTCTCCAACAGGTTTCTCCAAAACTGCCCTTTTTTATTTTACTTATTTATTTTTTACCTCTTTCTTCTCCTTTTCGCCAGCAAGAAAAGCCAACTTGGTCTCTGCTTGGGCCTCATTCACACAGTGTGATGCTGGTTGACTTTCCAAAACCTAACGATCCTGCTGTGGGTGGGCTGTGAGGGAGGAATGTGTCGCAAAGATCACCCTATTGTAGAGACCACTCTGTTGTAAAGCCCAGCCTTTCCCCGCTGCGCTTTGGGGTGGGAATCCACCACATGAAATGAATCTGTTAGTGACGCAGGAGCGGCGTGCCGGGCTCTCCGTGCGCTGCCGGCAGCCGCAGCGCGGAGGTTTCCGCGCTGGTTTTGACAGGGGCTCTGCTGGCTGCGCCCGGCTGCTGCGGGGCTCAGCCACGAGGGCGACGTGCCGATACCCCGGGGAGCCAGCACTGTGACTAACGCTGAGGGCTGGCTGCGTTTTTGGGTGTTGGACCCGTAACKCGCTTTCTCTGCGCGCAGGGGCACGCGCCGGGTGGGCTCTGCGGGGCGCTCTGGTTGCACCTTCGGGTCGCGCTTGTGTTCGAGGTGCCGGCCACGGCAGAGCGGCCGAGTAAAAGTGCAGCCACACGGAGCCCCACGGTAAAACTGGGGGCAATCAGCGTAAACGAAGCCGCAGAGACAGAAGCGATGCTGGAGGCAGGAGCAGCTGCAGCCTGGATAGCAGGACAGGGATGTCCCGCAGCGTCCGCGACGGAGCGGCCGGCAGGGCAGGGAGGCTGCTCCAGAACAGGACCCGTTGGGCCCAGCTCCAGCTCTGGGCTCACCAGCACTGAGGGACTTGGCTGTTCGCAGCTGTCCCTTCAGCCGGCGCCTTTGTTTGTGACGCTAATCTTCTGAAACTGGCATTTCCTGTYGCGTTCTGAATGAGATGCCGCACGTGCTTCCAGTTTAAATGTTATGGGTTGTGTAAGGTATGTTGGAAGAGCGACCCGGGGCGTCCTGCATCGAGTTCCTGGCACCCGGAACACGGGGGTTACGTTCCTATGGGTCCCATGGTGGCTTCCCGAGAGTTGAACCAGATCTGCGTTAAAAATAAAGCTCTGCTTTGCTGCTGTTTAAAGGAAGAACATCCTGACTCTTGGGAGGGAGTGTTGGAGCACTTGCTGGGCAGGCAGGACCCCGAGATAAGGTCCTGTTTTGTTCTGCAGATGTGAAAGCAGCAGAGAAAAACTACATAGCATAACCTAARTCTGTAAATGCTTTCTCTTAACTGCTGGACGGATGGCACTAGTAGTGACCGTAATATGTGAGAAGTTATGTTTCCTTTTTGTCACCTTACATTCTGTAAATAGTTTTAAAAGACACAGTTGCATTTTCTTTTCTTTTCCCAGTGCTTGGCTGTGGTGRTTAGCAAGCAATAGCAACAGTACTGCTGTGTATTTTAACATTTGATTCTTGGGTGTATGTCTCTTTTTTTCTACCAATACCAGTTTTTTTGAAAAATACATTTCTGGAAAGTTATAAGCAGTGAAAGCTGCAGTGTTTTTCTTCTTGGACTTTAATTGTAGTGTGGTATTTGGCAGGTAACTTTCAAGCATCTTTATGTTTTACAACAGAAATATCTGCAAAACAATGTGTAACATCCCATTTAGGAGAGGTGGAGGTAGCCCTCCCAGCATCTGGAAGTCATGAAGGACACGGGCGAGTTTGGCCTTAATGAGAGAACAGGGAATATGATGCAAAACACATTCTTTACACAGTGAGGAATACAGCGAGCAGTGTTTGCATTTGCCTCCTTGCTCCATGTGCAGCAAGCAAGGGCTGGAGTAAGGGGGAAAAGTGACAAAATCGCAGAGCAAAGGGCTGCGCTTCGCTGTCCACGGCTCTGTTTCGATGCAGTGAGCCACTGTGTGGGTGAAGGGCACATGAGAGCTGCCTGGGCTGGAGCTGAGCAGCGGCGCCTTGGGCGCTCGCCCTCTCATGCCGCCACGAAGGGGAGAAAATTCCTGCGGAGCAGCCGGCCTGGCGCCAGGGCTTTCCCGGGACGGGAGGTCGCGAGTCACACAGCGGTGCAGGACTCGAGTGTCCCCCGCGCAAGACCTTGCTTGCTCTGCACATTGTGTCTCGGCCCCTGGTGTTTTCCTAAAGGCCATAAACCCCCCAGGAAATGGTGGTGAAGTTTAAAATATAGCGACTTGCAGCGTTACGGTCTGTCTTGGCCGAGCTCTGTCGCGTGCAGAAGCGGCTGTTCCCTGGGCGCTGCTGCACGAAGAGCGGGTGCCGTCGCGGTGCGGGGTCACGCGCTGTGCAGCGCGGCCGGCGCGGGGCTGCTCCTGCTGCTGCTCCTGCTGCTCCTGCTGCTGCTCCTGCTGCTGCTCCTGCTGCAGCTCCTGCTCCTGCTGCTGCTGCTGCTGCTGCTGCTCCTGCTGCTGCTGCTGCTGCTGCTCCTGCTGCTGCTGCTGCTGCTCTGCTGCTGCTCCTGCTCCTGCTGCTGCTGCTGCTGCTGCCGCCGCCGCCGCGTGCGGAGCAGAGCTGGGGGGCATCACGAGCCCACACTAAGCCCCCCTGGCCACGTGGGCAGCTCTGGGTCTGTGTGGCAAAGGGGGCGGCGCGCGCTCGGCTCGCAGCGCCTGACCCCGGCAGACCCCTTGGCTGCTCGGGGGACGCCCAGCAGTGCTCTCTGCCAGAGCTCTGCTCTTGGATGGAGTGGAATTCATTAATCGATTTAAAACAACTCCCGATCTTTTTCCAGGCTGCCAGCCAGTTCGGTGCGTGTGGTGTTAGCTGTCCTTGTCCACCAGCTTTTAGCCTGTGGTGGGTGCTTGGCTTGAGCACCCTTCAAGAGGGATGTTCTGCCTGTTCTTAGGGCACTCTCTTATTYATGAGTCTAATGTTTCCTTTTTTTCCCCCTCTACCTTTGCTGCTCTGACCTGCCCACAGGCTGCAAGTCAGAGTTGGAGGAGCAGAAAAAACAGATTTAATTTTTTTTTCCACCTTGATTTCATTTTTGGAACTGTCTGCATCGTTTTCAGTAAAACCTTGTGTAGTGGTGGTGGGACCTCATCTGGTGGTGGGACCTCATCACCAGGACTCAGCTGGGTCCTGATGAGACCGAGGATGGAAAATCTCTGTGCAGACCCAGGCTGCTGGGAGGCTGTGTGCTGGAAACCCCGGCGCACGCGGCCCCGAGCCCGGGGAGAGCGGCGGGGATTTTGGGGTGGCTTCACTGTTTTSTGTGTCATTGTCCCGTGATACGTGTAAAACACAAAGTAGGTCAGATCTGTAAATCACATGCAAATTGCATGTGGTTTGAGTATTACAAGGATCATGTTTCTTTGTTTTGTCTATCAAGAGCATTTTTTTCTGACCATGTCTGTTCTTTCTTAATAGATGGTTTGCGGGTGGCACTCGTGCGAGTGATTCAAGTTTCTCCTCCAAGATGTGTTCCACAAACCCAGCCAACTGGGTCACCTTTGACGAGGAGCCGCTCTTCCAGTCTCCTCAGAAATCAGCTGAAAGGCAGGGGAGCTGTCGAGCCAATGGCCTCAAGCTGAACCTCTCCAGCGTGCCGGCACCCTCGAGCAGGTGCTCGTCTGCAGGCAGCACTCCGCTCTCCTCCCCTGTCGTGGACTTCTACCTGAGTCCTGGGCCCCCCAGTAACTCTCCGCTTACTACACCTACCAGAGACTACCCAGCGAGCCCATGTACCCCCAAGCCTGGGGTCCACGTCCTTTACCCTATCCCAGAATGGCCACCAAAAGGAAACTCTGTTCCGTCCCCTGGCGTCTGCTCTTCCTTAACTTCGCAGAAACTGAGCAGCCTTCCTGTGAGCACCTTGGCTGATGATAATCCAGCTAAGGGAGTCTCCACATCAACGGATGAAGGCCATCCCGCTCTGCAAGAAAGCTGTGAGGAGGCAGGAGAGCCCTCGGAGCGCTTCCCGTGCTTCCAGAGCGCCTGTGCCTTCTCCAGTCCCTTCTGGAATGAAGGCTGTTYGCTCAGCACGTCACCTCCTTCCCTCGGCACACAGAGGAAGGACAAAGCGCTCGACAGAAACACGTGTCCTCCTGGAGCAGCAGGAGAGGCCTGGCACGATCAGAAGAGCCTCAACGAGGGCTCCTTCAGCTACGTCTGCGAGAGGCTGGAGCACCTGCAGGCGGGCGGCGCGCGCGCCGGGCACGGGCTCTTCCGCGGCCGCAGAGCCGACGGGTGGCCCTTCCTGCTGCGGATTCCTGAGAAGAAGAACATGATGTCGTCGCGGCAGTGGGGCCCCATCTACCTGAAGGTCCTCGCGGGGGGTATTCTRCAGATGTACTACGAAAAGGGCCTGGAGAAGCCTTTCAAGGAGTTCCAGCTGCAACCGCACTGTAAGCTTTCCGAACCCAAGCTGGAGAGCTATAACGTTTCAGGAAAAATCCATACTGTGAAGATTGAGTGTGTGTCTTACGCGGAGAAAAGGAAGTATCATCCCAAAGTGGAAGTGATCCACGAACCGGAGGCTGAGCAGATGTTGAAGTTGGGAACCACGGATTATAATGACTTCACTGATTTCCTTGTGACCATTGAGGAAGAGCTCATGAAACTTCCCGCCACTTGTAAACAAAAGAGAAATTACGAAGARCAAGAGATGACTCTTGAAATAGTGGACAACTTTTGGGGTAAAATCACTAAAGCTGAAGGAAAGCTCGTGGAAAGTGCTGTCATCACACACATCTATTGTTTATGTTTTGTGAATGGGAGTACTGACTGCTTTCTAACTCTAAATGATCTCGAACTGCAGAAGAGGGATGAACGCTACTTGGAGAAGGAGACGGAGAAGAAATGGATTGAAATTCTAGATTACCATTTCCACRGCTGTGTTAAAGCGCAGGAGTTTGAGCAGTCGCGAATCATCAAGTTTACACCCCCCGATGCCTGCAGGCTGGAGCTGATGCGTTTCCAGACACAGTATGACGGGCGAGACCTTCCCTTTTCCGTGCGGGCTGCTGTTGTGGTTCAGGGAGCGTACGTGGAACTCCAGGCTTTTATTAACATGTCTTCAACCGCTCTGACACCACTGCGTTCACCGTCGGGCAAGTACTGTGAAAACGTCATGATTCGCTTCCCGGTGCCTGCACAGTGGATCAGGGCACTTTGGACCATGAACCTCCAGAAACAGAAGTCCCTGAAAGCAAAAATGAACAGAAGAACATGCCTTGGCTCCTTGCATGAGGTCGAGTCCGAGCCCGTCATACAAGTCTCGGTTGGAACGGCGAAATATGAAAGYGCCTACAGGGCTGTGGTGTGGAAGATAGACAGGCTGCCAGATAAAAACTCAAGTAAATAACTTGCTATAAAGTAGGGGCCTTGGGTGCAGAACTCCTCGGGGTTCATGCAGTGTTTTTATGCTGTGTGGTTTCAWCAGCTTGAGTAGTTGTAATTTGTACCTATGCAGTGGTATCTGTAGGAACTCAGCTTTAAGAAAAAGGAGAGGAGGCCTCTTTTTAATTCTTAAAGGGCATTTTAATAATTTGCTTGCTCCAGGCAGATATATTACTATCATTCATTATAATAGTGCAGTATCCCAAGGCTTTACCGTGGGAATGGATCTCATTGTTCTGGTGCAAATTTGCAGCAAGAACGAGGGGCAGGTTTACGTGGACCAGCCGGGCCCCGGTGCGACGGGACGCCAACACTGGCAGCTCTAGTGATTTCCTGCCCAGTGTCACGTAATTCATTGCAAAGCTGGAATTTAGCTCTTGCATCTTGGTTTTCTAGCAGCTTTTAAGGAGTGGCAGGAATGATTCGTGCCCTGAAGATGCTGTGGTCAAACTTGCAGCAGCAGATTGGCTGTGCAGAGACTGCTGCCTTGCTCGCGGTGCACCAGGATTGTATAATCWTGAACAAATAACCAAGCTGGCAACAGACACCTCTGATGATACTCCTGTCTCTCTGTGGTGGTGATACCGAACTTTAAATGTCCACAGTAATAAAACCAGTGGCACATATGGGAGTAATAATTTTCCACTAATTGAGGTAGTTAATTTAGTCTAATTTGATCATCAAAGTACTGCTTTTGGAGAAGAAAAATATAAATATACAGCTTTAAAACTCCCATTTTAGTCAAGTTAGCAGATTAATACCTTGGTTCTTTTCTAAAGGCATAAAAAATCCTGAGAAATATTTTATTGTTTTAAATGCTGCAGAATGAAGCCCCTAGACCCTTTCCATGGATATGCTTCATGCGTATTTAAGGCTTGAGGAGATCTTTGTAGGATGAGGCCATCTATTGAGCTATTCTACCTAAAAGATCTGCAAAAATGGTACTTTTGAGATTGGGACAAGGGTGAAAAATTACCAAATGGATTGAATTAGATTTGCCGAGAACTAACTGTCTGGCTTAACTACCTCTAAAAAAGACTTGGGCTTCTAAAGTGCAGGTTTCACATATGTCAGTACCGACATTTCCCTGCCATGGCTCAGGCAGCTAGATGTGGCATCAGGCAGAGATTCATTTTCAAAACTATATATATAAAAAAAAGAACTCCAGAAGATACAGTTTTTCTCACTTTAAGTAACTGTAAACATCACGGTTTAAGGCATTATGGCATCCCTTTTCCGTGATTATCTTACCTTTTGTTTTCTTTTTCTTTCATCTGGTATTTGAGTGTTTCTGATTGCTGCTTTTGACATGTAATAGGACCAAAATAAGGAGGCAGGAGCCAGCGAACAGGGGACGTTGCCCCGGGCCTGTGCGTGACCCGCGCTGGCAAGGCCCTGGGCAGGAGGGCAGAGCCCCGCCGCGGAGGTGCTGCTGTGGGTTGCGGCAGGGCAGGAGCTGCTCCTGCTCCGTGGCGCTGCCCTATGGAAACACGAGTGCCAGGACACGGGAGCGAGGAGGAGACGTGGCCCTGGCCACGGAGGAGGYGGCGGTGGGAAGCAGCGGCACAGGTGGGAAGGAGAGCGCGTGGCGGGGCCGGCAGGAGTGTCCGGCTCACCGGGAAAGAGATGGACCGGGACAGGGAGCTGGTGGAGGGAAGAGGGAGAGTGAGTGGAAATCCAGTTCATCAGGGCTTCGCAGATCTGTGGCTTGTGTGCGGGGAGCCCCGCTGCGCTGCTGCGGCAGCTCCGTGTTTGCCCAGAGCTGACGGGCCTCGCCGCTTGGCTGCCTGTAATGTTCTCTGCTGCTTAAGGTAGAGGGGTTTCTGCAAGATCAGTCCGTAGCCTTAGTCGGGCCATTTGACAGAAGATTATGGTTCTTCCAAAGTCTTTCAATTCCCCATCGTTCGTTCACCTCAAGACTTGTTGTGCACAATTAAGCTCAGATTTACAGTACTGGAAAGTAGGAACCTTTTCTGTGGCATTCCACAACTTCAAGTGATTTTCTAACAGCAGCTTAAACTTTTGGCATTTGAATAGTTCCTCTGGCTGAGATCTGCCCAGTCATCTGTATGCCTGAAATGTTCTTGCTTTTAGGAACGTTTCGGCAGCAACGCTGCCTGCTCGGGGGTTAGGGCTTTCTCTCTGGTGCTCTGTACACAGTAGGGACGGCAAAAATAGCCCTGGCCGGAGCGCCAGAAAGCTGCGGGCAGGCGCACTAACAGAAATATGTAAACTTGCATAATATATTTATTGCAGGGGGAAAAATATGCCAGTGTTTTTGCTTTCCAAAAGCCTTTGTCCAAGACTAAGGAAAAGAAAAAAAGAAAGAAACACAAAACCGCAAGTTGCCTGCAGATAAACTGCAGCTCCAWTTATAGTCATCGCAACGTGCGGGCACCCGGAGGCTGCAGCTGAGGAGCTGCCTTGCAGGGGCGCCGTCCTAGCAGAGCCCGGGGCTGCTCCGAGACGGCCCGGAGTCTTAGCAGCCGCCTCTGCTTATCGAGGGATATCCGTGCAGGGAGCGCGGTCTTTTTTGGAGGTGGTCTTTTTTGTTGTTGTTTTTTGTTTGTTTTGTTTTTCCTCTTCTGTTTTTCTGCTGTTTCTAGTGACAAGACAAGGGGTAACACAGGAAGTTTAATCTCCATGTGAGGAGGAACTTCTTCCCTGTGAGGGTGACAGAGCCCTGGCACAGGCTGCCCAGGGAGGCTGTGGAGGCTCCTTCTCTTGAGATCTCCAAAACCCGCCTGGATGCTGCCCTGTGCTCTGAGTGTCCTGGCTGGAGCAAGGGATGGGACTAGATGATCTCTAGAGGTCCCAACCTCAGCCATTCTGGGATTCTGTGAGTTGCCTGGACACTCAAGACCTAGAATCTTTGGCTCTTTAATTAGCTAGTAAAAGTGCAGTTATCTTCTGAGATTATCCCAGTAACTCCTTTCAGGAGACMCTCAGCTCTGCCAGGCCAGGAGCTCGTGTCTCCTCTGTGTGTTACCGGCCGCATACTGGATAGCTGGCCTCACCTGGGACGTCTCAGCTTGATGGATTTAACACCACGCCTGCTCCAGCCTCTCTGTCCTTACCCATGTCTGTGATTTGTGGGTGATCTGTGATCTGGCCAACACCTGCGTTGTTCATTATTACTTTTTCTTTTGGTAAATGATCTTGTACATACCGCCTGTATTCTTTTTTTTTTTTTTTTTTCCCAACTCCAGTGTAATATAAGGCTAAGGAAACACTAGGTTCCTAGAGCAGCTGACAAGGGCTGGCCAATACTAGGTGCAAGCGAAGGCAGTGCTCGCTGTCTCCCAAAGCGCTGGTCCCTGCTCCGTTGCCCGGCAGCGCCAGGAACGGATCCCAGTGCGCTCCGAGCGCAGCCTGGTGCTGGGCAGGGAGACTCGGCAGGAGCGGGGCGGTGAGTACCTCGTTCTGGGCTTCGTGTTGCTGAGAGGGGCACGGGCTGCGGCCCTGGGTTGAAGGGGTCCAGTGGAGGCTGCTCCGGAGGACCCAGGGCAGAAGCCTTGTCCAGCTCTCAAAAGTGTCGTCTCCGCCTTTGCAGGTTATGGCCTGGGCGAAGGAGAAGATCCCAGAGCTTGGCAAGTCCCAACATCCAGGCTGAATCAAGAGTGCTCTGCCTGCTGGGCGGTTTTTGTGGTACTGAATCACTGCAATGCCTGCAGGGCTGTCGAGCAGCACGGCAAGGAGAATGGCCCATACATGGCCCATRTATGAACAGGATAGATGGACACCTTCCATGAGATGTGTCCAGGGAAATTCCAAACAGTGGTTCTTTCTGGATTCCCTTTCTCAGAAGACAAGGGTTTTCCAGACAATTCCTGTTCAATTCCTGTTTCTCCTATATGAAGAAGATGCTGAATTTCATCACCACAAGCCCCTAGATGTACGTCCTTTTCCKTCTGCCACAAATGGGCTCCAAACAAGAGCCTGCTGCCCTGGGACAGCACCTTTCTCCTCAGATCCTCAGCCAAACCGTGCGCTCCAAGGCAGAAAGAGCCCCCGTCCTGAGCGCGAGCGTATCCCAGCTCCGGGAGGTTGTGTTGGAGATGGAAGGAGCTCTGCGGTTCCCGGCTGGGAAGAGGAGGGCTCATGCCAGGCTCCTTCGCACCGGCGCTGTTACCAGCGCAGCTCTTGCTGGGACAATGAGAGGCGCAGGATGGAGGGGTTCCCCCTTGGCAGTCCCGCTCCAGCAGGCCCAGTATGGAGCAGGCACCGGGAATTTTCTGCGAATTCCCAGGGCATTACTGCAGGAGCGACATGCGTGGCCACAGTGAGGGATGGCCAGCAGCACTGTGGGGACAGGCGTGCGCCATGTGGCACTTTATATCTTTATCTTTCTGTAATAAAGTCTTTAATGTTACAGTTTTACCTATCTGCGTTGTCTTATCGTCCTGAGACTTTAGCCGTGTGCTCTGTGCCTCCTGCATCCCACTGTTTTGCCTAACACCTTTATGGGCTTGCGAATTATGCAAAAGATACCTTCCTTTTGAGTGCCTTGAAGGAGCTGATCCTGTTGAGTTCACAGAGCAGTGGCTAATGTCTGGATGCACTGAATTCAGCACAGAACAGTTTTGATAGTTTACTGATGCTGAGAACACTGGAGAGGAGAGGAAAGGCAGAGTGACTCTTGTTTTGCCCTGAAGAATTTGGAGAGGCAGCTGTGCTCGAAAGGGTCCTTTTCATTTGGTTGTACTGGCTCTGTGCACGTAGTGAATCTGCTGGCTTCAGTTTCTGTGGAAAGGATTTTTTTTGCCCTGGTGTTCCTGGGTGCGAGAAATGTTGTCCCATCCCTTGGTCAYGTATGAGAAACTCTAAAGCAGGAGATCAGTAGGACCTATGGCTGGTTTAAAGGAGTCTGGACTCCACTGCGGTACACGGGTGATGCTTCATGGTCGTGGTTTACAGCACCATGGCTCCTTCTGCARGGCCTTCGTTTGGAAGAGGGAGCTGTGCTCTTCTTCCCACAGCAAAGGTGAAGCTTGAAGGGAGAGTCATTGGCCTTATCCCACAGCCGCGATGTATCCTGTCGGAGCAGCCCCCTGAGCTGCGCCTTGGCCTTGGACCAAGATGGTCCAAGGGATGGTGAGACAAGRTGGTGTTGGACAAGACTGTTGTGGTGCTTGAAATAAGCACCCGGTGAGCTTCCTGCAGCAGAGAGCTCTGGAAAGACAGTTGTTGGACACAGGGCAGCATCTTTGCCGGGCCTAAACTGAGGACTTCAAGGTTTTATCTTAGTTTCCATAAGAGTAAGAAATGTATTTTTGAGCCAGGACTGAGATTCTTCCCTAAAAATCTGAACTTAGTTGCTAAGCAGTACCCTTTGTTGAATGAGAAGCTGGCAGCATCTGGTGCATCTTGTGCAAGTTAATCTGTGATACCATGATGAGCATAAGAGGTGGGGAGAAGCAGAGGAAGGAGTGAGGGGCCATCTTAAGGCCAAGGAGCAAAAAGACGGGAGACAGAACAATCCTGGATTTATAACAGCTATGCATGAGTAAAAACCAGAACTATTAGAACGATGGTCTCTATTAACTGTGCGCTGTAAAAATGCAAAAATAAGTATTTGTTAATGTTTTTGTTCGTTTGTTTTCCCAAAGGCTTGGATCATCCACACAGCCTGTCTTACAAGCTCGAGCTCGGCTCAGACCAGGAAATACCTTCGGACTGGTACCCGTTTGCCACGGTGCAGTTCGTCATCCCCGAGGCCTCAGCCTCCGGGACGGAGGTCAAGTCCCTGGGCGTCGAGAGGGACGTGCAGCCCCACAAGCACGTGCTCCAGAAGGCCTTTTACAGCTGCCAGGTATCGCCGCCGCCTCCCGCTCCCTCGCTGCTCCTCAGCAGCCCGGGCAGGATTTGCAGAGCCGGCGTGCTCGGCATTCCAGCCGTGCCTGGCAGGCTGCTGTGAGAGYGGCTCTGAGCAAGAGATTCATTAAAAAAGAATTCTTTGCCTGATCAAAGGTGATGCTGAAAGCAGACCTGCGAGTGCAGCGTTGTTTTTCCTTAGCGCGCCGCTTCTGCGAGTAGCGGCTTTGAAGTCTGGTAGGCCGGGGAGTTTTCAGGGTCTCTGTCAAGGCTGGGATTCACCGTTATTTGCTCAATTCTACCTGTTTTTTTATTTGTTGGTTTGTTTCTTGTTTTCTAACTACAGGTTGAAATTGAAAAGAAGTGGATCAGGCTTGATGGAGAAGATCCGGATAAGGCCGGCAGCTGCCTAATGCAGTGAAAGAGGACAGCAGGCGCCGTCCCGTAATACTAGTAGGAACCCATTTCCGTGGGAAACTGCTGTTAGCAACTAAGTGCAATGATCCAGTTTAGGATGAACACAATCACTGAATTGTTTTTAGTGCTTTGGGGTTTCATTTCTGCACGTTAGTACCCGTTTTGTTAGCTTACACTGAGCTAAACTTCCTGAGAACTGGTATAAGTAACGTCACCTCGGAGCGTTTGGCAGGATACGAGCACTTAACTGACCGGTACCTTTGTTTTCTGTTGTGTTTCTATGACTTGGGAGTGATCTCCCACTTTGGGAGTGATCTCCTACTTGGTATTGAAAACTAACGGCCCCACTCAAAGAGCTCGTGTCCCTTGGATGTACAATATTCAGCAATAAAAACTGCCAGGATGCTTGTGTGCTGGCCAGCCTCTGTGCAAGGCCCAGCAGGAGCAATTACACCTTTTGGTGGTGTTGGAAAATCCATGTTCCCCATGTTTCTGCTCACCTCAATATATGCCAACAGAGCAGGTCATAACATTGTGTAACGTAACACAACAGAAAGTGGTAACTTTCCACAAGTGCCTCAGCTAATGAGGAGAAGCTGGCTGATTTCACTGGTGGAATGGGAGAAATTGCTCAGCAAGAAGTTTCCTCGTTTTTCTGTAGCTGTGAGTGTTTCCTCCCCAACATTTTAYAGGTTTGCTCAATGTTGTATCTTGGAGAACAGCAGAAAGAGAGAAGCCTATGGCAGATGTGAATGAAATTTCTGTAGCAGCCTAGACAAGTCTTTTTCACCACTGCAGCAGGTGAAACAGGGACAGCTCCTCAGCGAGTGTGAATCAGGGCGGGTCTCAAGCTCACCGAAACCTTGCTTGCTTGYGGCAGCCTGTTGCTGTGGGCCGCCTCGAGGCCCCTGGTTCCGGGGGTGCGTGGGGAGCCGCGGGCCGTGCTGCACTTGGAGATACCTGAAGATGGGGAGCGTGTCCTTCCGTGCAGGGAGCGGGAGGCGTYCGTGCTACTGGCTCTAAAGGGGCTTTTCTGTGGGAAAAGGACACTGGAATGGACTGGGAAGGGAAGCTGTGACGCTTCAGCCAGCAGTGTGAGCTACTAACCCCTATTAATGTGTTAACTGTTTTGAAAGTCTGTTGGAATTTGGGGAAGGTTTTACATGTTTTTCCACAGCCATTACCCACTTTGCCATTTTCTGCAGGGGGTAATTCCTGAAAAAAAAAAAGATACTGATGGACTTAAAAATGTTCCTCATATCTTTTTTGGCTGCAATTATCCTTACTTCAAACTCAAATTATTGGAGAATAAAAATATAGTAAGGCACTAAGTCTCACTTTATGTTTTGGCACAGCTGTAACTGTTTATRTGAACGCTGAGTAAAAATACAGCAGAATGTTATTCCCTAAAAGCAGAAATATGTGGGATATACCTTGAGAAAATTATCAGTCTGAGGAAACAGAAGGCCATAATATGAACATAGTTCATCACACTAAACTTTTCTTCCCCCATTTAAAAGCTGAGAATGAAATGGGTAATAGATTCTGTACTAAATCCTGAGGGTAGGGTTTTTATGTGCCTTGCATTGCCAAAGCCCCAAAGAGGCTGTTATGGTATTTTGGCGTCTCTATACATCGCATTTTATTAGCGGATTATATTACCATAAATCTAAGCAAATGCACTAGAGTAGTAGTGATTCCTGTGTGTCTCTGACATTGCATCTTCCCAGACGTGTTTAGACTTGAGGAACAATTAGCACCTTCAAGTCACGTTCAGTTTATTTTATTCATATTTCATGTGGGTTTATTTAGTTCTCAGCTGAGCTAAGCGACATGATGTATTCAGTTAGCACCAAGGCAGAGCTCTGCCGATCCCTTAGCCCTAGCMCAGCGATGGAGTTCCAGTATCTGTTAACCTCTTAGTGCTCCATGGGGCAGAGGAAGCAAAATGCCCAGACACTTCCCAGCACAGACCTCTGTCTGAAGCTGCTGGGGCCCCTGCCTTGTTGTCACTGACATTAACACAGTAAATCAGTGAATSAGTGGAAAGTGCCCGAGAGTCTCGCTCAGCGAGACTCTTTTCTTTCCTCTTTTCTTGTGAGAGGTCGGTCGGTCCTGTGTGTGACTTTCCCACCTCGGGATCCCTGCACATTTGGGGCCGGCTGCAGTTACAGCTCCCGCAGAAGCATCTTCCTTTGTTCTCCCCTCGTTCTGCTCTCTCCCACAGTCTCCCATTTAAGAGCCTAGTCTAGTGCTGTAGCTTCTTCTGGCTTGAAGAAGCGACATAAAATATGCCCCCTTGCTTTGAGTGGCCGAAGGGGGGAAGAGCCGGGCAGTAATTCTGGCGGATTCTGGGATCCGTCAGTCCCTGGCGGATCTGCTCTGGTGCAGTGACAGTTCTGCGCCCGGAGCTCTTGAACATAAAGAGCTCAAGTTGCAGCCGTGTCTGTGCAGCAGGATCTTGGCTTTGCACCTGAGGCTGGCGAGACTCTCCGCTAGTGTTAATGGGAAGTGGATTGGGATCGTGGGGAATTCATCCCACAGAAATAGTGCTACGCTGAAAGAAAGTAACCCTGTTTTGCGCATGATTTTTAGCTTAGATCTGGCAATTAGCACAGCTGAAGGCAAAATTAATTGTGACTGCCTGTTCAGTCTCAGACTATGTTTGTATGCCTTGCATATTTTAAAAATATGAGACAGTTTAAGGAAGAAAAAAAAATAGGGTTATCTGACTTTTTTTCTTTGTTTTTAATCAAATTCTAATCTTCACGTTTTATTGCAAAACACTAAAACAGGCTTCCTCTTGCTAACGTTTTTTGTATTCTCTCATGTTCTTACAGAAACCAATTGAACAGATATTCCCTGTATTTGTTTAATACTGTCTATTGAACAAGTATTCCCAATGTTTCAGCTTATTTGCTAAAATCTTCCACAGAAGGTGATGGTGAGTGGATGTACTTGTTTGGATTCCTTGCAGAGCTGGGTCCTGAGTAGTTTTCCTGCATTTTGGAGGGCCATGGAGGCGGGGAGCAGTTTCTACCACCTGCCCTTCTGCTCTGTTCTGGGTGCCGSGAGCGGGAGGCAGGGCTGGAACTGGGGACGACCCCGGGGGGCTGGCACTGCACCAGGAGCCAGGCTGGGTCTGTGCCCATCCCTCTGAGGTAATTCCAGCTACAGGGGTCACTGGGAATGCTGCCCTGTGCTAACATTTACTATAGAGCCATATTTAGGCTGTTGTTATCTTCGTTTCATTCACAAAGCAGCAGCAGGGTTCAGGGTGTTTTGTATTTTAAACAGAAATGAGTGAGAACAGCTATTTTTGTAGTGTGACTGCTTCTCTCAGTGCCCTCTTTCCTCAGACAAACTTTATCTTTGCAGTAATCTTTCTCATACGAGTAATATTACGGTACGTAAATGGTACTTGATGTAACTTTGGATTCAAACACCCATTGAAGTCAGTGGAAGCCTTTTAACTGACAAACGGAGATCTGCATCAAAGTCTCTGAGCGTGAAGGAGGAGAATAAATTAAAAAAAAAATAGTGGCAATAAGTAGGAAATAAAAATGTAGCAGATTCTTGACACTAGCAAATAGGCAACGTGCAATGCTTATTTCTGCCCGAAAAGCAGAGAGCGGCGACGGGTGCTCGGGGTGCCTGAGCTGCAGCCCTGCCACCACCGTGACCGGTCCAGCAGCCCCTGCAAGGGAGGACGCTGCGGCGTTGCCCCAAGCTGCTCTCACCTTCACATTCCTTGCTTTATTTTATCTTTTCCAGATTCCACATTAGTTTTCCAAAGGTGCTTAATGCTTGAGAAAGGCTCTTTGGAAATGTTGCTTTTATTTACACATATTTTACTTGACAGATTTCYTCACTGCGGTACTGGTCCCATGCCTCTCTCCTATACTGAATTCTCTTTGTATTGACTAGATACGGTAACTAACTGCTGGACTTGGTAGTTGTTGGCTGTTATTTTAATAATTCAGAAGCAGTGCTGTTATTTCTAATGGAAAATATCAATGTATGTGTTTTTTTGTTGGTATAAGTATAAATGGATCATGCTGATAATCTTGTAATAACATTTTGTAGATGGCATATTGATAGAAAAAATAAAGCTGTATTTCATACTAGCAGTTTCTTGTCTCCCTACTAAAAAATTATCAAGCTCATTTTGCATTTTCTATAATTAGATAGTTGATCTTGTACTATTAAGTGTTACAAATTACAAGGAGTTTTGCTCAGTACGTGGCTATCCTACGCACTCTTGCTTGCAGAAAGCTGATCAGTGCACTGTATTCCAGAATGGTTTGAATCATCAGCAAGTTTGCTGATGATACCAAACTGGGAGRAGTAGCTGATAGCCCTGAGGGCTGTGCTGGCATCCAGAGGGACCTGGACAGACTGGACAACTGGGCGGTGAGAAACCTCATGARGTTCAACAAGGGCAAGTGCAGGGTCCTGYACCTGGGGAGGAATAACCCCGGRTACCAGTACAGATTAGGGGTKGACCTGCWGGAGAGCWGCCCCRCAGAGAGGGACCTGGGCGTCGTGGTGGATGACACAAGGACCATGAGGCAGCAGTGTGCCCTGGTGGCCAAGAAGGCCAACGGGATCCTGGGGTGCATTAAGAAGAGCGTCTCCAGCAGGTCGAGGGAAGTGATCATCCCCCTCTACTCAGCCCTGGTGAGGCCMCAYCTGGAGCACTGYRTCCAGTTCTGGGCTCCCCAGTACAAGAGGGATGTGGAGCTGCTGGAGAGAGTCCAGCGCAGCGCTACGAGGATGATCAGGGGCCTGGAACATCTGCCCTAGGAGCAAAGGCTGAGGGAGCTGGGTCTGTTCAGCCTGGAGAAGAGGAGGCTGAGGGGGGACCTGATCAACGTGTATAAATACCTCAAGGGAGGCAGTGAGGAGGAGGGGCTGGCCTCTTTTTAGTGGTGGCCAGCGCTAGGACTAGAGGAAACGGCCACAAGCTGAGGCACCAAAAGTTCCACAGGAACTTGAGAAAACACTTTGTGACAGTGAGGGTGCCAGAGCCCTGGAACAGGCTGCCCAGAGAGGTTGTGGAGTCTCCTTCTTTGGAGATCTTTAAAACCCACTTGGACGCAGCCCTGTGCCAGGTGCTCTAGGTGACCCTGTGTGAGCAGCGGGGTTGGACTAGATGACCTCTGAGGTCCCTTCCAAYCTTAAGCATTCTATCATTCATTCATAATCCCTTCTTGGAATGAGCTGTTGCTAGTGGAGCTGTGAAACTTGTCTGGGGAAATACTGAGTAAGGCAGAAATGTGGGGGGCGACTCTTCGAAGAACGTATTTAAAGTATAAAATACCCGTGCTAAATTAAGCATTGGCTTAATATCAAAACATAAATACCTAGAATCTTCTAAGGTTTAAATAATTCCAGCAAGTAACAATAAAACCTAATTATTTCACAAGCGTCTTTGTCTCTASCTCCCAAGCTGAGACCAAAGAGTAGCAACCACCATTCCACAAAATCTTCCACTGGGAAAATGTTGCCTGGCAGGGAAGTGYTTGTACGCCTGTGTCTGTACCCAAGCACTGGCTATTCAGTGAAACATGGAAGAACAGAGTTCACAGCCATTTTCACTTGGAGTCGTATCGCTGCAGTGAACACCTGCCGGTGGGCAGCCTGTGTCTAGCAGGAGGACAGTCCTCATTCAGGATAAACACTGCAGTATTTGAAAGTGTCAGTGAACAACATGACTCAGGTATGTGAAAAGGTGAGATAGCTAGAATGCAAGTAACAACACAAAAGCATTTATTTTTGGGACGCTTTGCTAGTGTTGTGCCTAGTATATGCTACTTTATAGCCCAGTTCTTTCCTTAGTAAAAGCAGCCTGTAATTTTTTTGCAGTACTAATCATAACATGCTGTAAGTGATGCTCACAATCCATGCAGGAGCCTTCCTGGAAGGCACAAAGAAGGATATTAGAAATACTAGAAATAGCCTTGGTACCCAGGGAATGAGGACAGAGAGTCAAGGAGAAGGAACGGGAGCAGGGCAGCAGCAAGGCCAAGACCTAGGGCGGTGGGGCTGCTGCTGACGGCTATTGCATTTCGATGCTTGCTTGCCACATCAGGCTGACGTATTGGGGTGGGCATTAAGGAGATCTGGGGCTTATTTCATCCAGAATTGCACTTACTCAGACTGGGTGCTGGGCTTAGGAAGCAGCCAAGACACACAGCACTAGTCAGTGCATTCAATCTACCTAGGGGGGCACTTCTATCCACCGGCTGGGGCAGGTCAGAGTCCCTGTCCTCCCCAGTGTCATCAAAATCAGTCATTAAATTGAATTAAGCGGCAGTTCTTTCCACAGATAAAGTGCTCTCAATCGGGCAGAGAAGGAGAGGTACTTGAGGAAGCAGAGGAGTTGCCTATGWCCAGTGAAAGCAGAACAAATCAGAGGCCCCGGTGTTATCCATGTAGGCACCCTGAAGGAAAAGATGTGGCTTGCAGCAGAATSCTGCTGCTGGTGAAACTGGTTACAATGCCGGAGCACTGTGTGCCCTTGAGGAAACAGCTGGGAACGCGGGGAGCCCCTCTGAGAATTTCCGCTCTAAAGAAAAATTCCAGTTCTGCACTGCTGTGTCAAGGCATCTCTGTGAGGACGGCCCGTGGGCTGCAACCATTTCCTTTTAAGGATTATCATTTTTACTTAGAAAGAAAGGCCAAGAGGATATTTATAAAACAATGCTTTTAGGAAGCATTCTGCACTCATGCAGTTGAGTATCTGTGCACTTAACCAACAGTACTGGATTTCGACAGGAGAGGGCATCCATTACCAAGCATCCGAATTTGCTACAGACCTCAGTTTCTGGAGAGAAGACATTTGAAAATGTAAATTTTTTAATAATTAATAAATGCTTGTCATCCAAAAATAAATCTTTTCTAGACATCATGTACCAAGAGGAGTGAGTATAAATAATTACAAATTAAAACCTGTCCAGTAAACGAATGTTTGAGGTGCCCTTAAGCAGCACCATCCCAAATGCTGACAAAAGCGTGAGCCATGAGGAGGGCTGGTGCAGCATGCTCATCTCCAGGCAGCCCAACTTATAAAACACCCGTGAGCTGCTAAAGGGACCGGGCCACAACACGGATAATTTGATAGGAAGCCAAACCAGGATGCATGAAACTTGGACGCTGCTCCTGACTAGCATTAGTGACCGTGGGCGAGAGACTGTGCCTCAGTTTTCCCTCTTAAAAGTGGGCTTAAATGATAACAAAATCCATGAGCATGAAAATCATGGTGAATTTGTGCTTTATACTGCAAGACCCGGGTGCTTTGTTAAGGTCATCAACAGCAAAGTTTGCCAGTCAGAATAAGCAAAGCCATTCACAGATACTTGTATCTTGCACAGAAATGTAATTTTTTCATGGGTTTTCTCACGTGTTCAGTGGACACTCTGAGCGCAGTGCTCCAGACAGCTTCTCTGGGAATTTCTAAAGGAAAGGATATAAAGTTTGTTGTCATATCTCAAGTATAAGCATAAATGCCTCAGGTTAGTAGAAAGCACTCCCTGCAACCTCCCCAGGCAGCCCCAAAGCTTGTATTCCAGCCCCAATTTTTACTTTCTTCAAACCAATAGCACTTTTAGACTTAGACTACCGGCCCTAGCCAGGGAGGAATGATGCATTAACCTTGGTGATGGATCTTTTCTATTCACTGGTGACAGACACAATGCACGGGGCAGGTCTATGCTGCCTTCCGCTGGGCAGATGTACAGGTATGTGTAACTACAGATCACACTGCCAAACCGGAGCGCGAGGCAAAGCCTGTTTGCTCTGCTCTGCAAATGACAGAGCCATGGATAGAGCCAAAGCCACTCAGCCACTACTTGGGAGAGCTGAGAAGTCCCTTGGTGTGACGTTCCCTGGGGCCCTCTCTGTCCCATTTTGGACTTACACACTGCCATTGTGCCAGCTTCAAGGAGCTCTGTAATCCCAAGACACAGGAAAGAGCGTAGAAAGTGGGGAGCTCATGTATACATGTGCTTTTCTGTGCCATAAAACACTCCTGAACACRGATGCCTGCACGTCAGGTTTATCTGTCTCATGAAAATGTGGCAACCAGCTGCAGACTCCCCATCTGCAACCTTCAGGGCCCGGCGAGATCCTGAAGGCTGCAACTTCTTCCCGCTATCTCTGCTAACGTGACAGGACTAATCAGGCACGGGAAGAATAATGACTCTCTTGGCGTGCACCGTCCTAGGCGGTTTCAAGTAAACACCATGCTTTAAAAATGTGTTTTATTATTTAAATTACTCTATAAGCAAAGCAGCATGATTTGCCTTCTTCTTGAGAGCATGTGAACAGCTGAATAAGCAATTGCCATTTAATTCAAGATCTAGGCAGTGTCATTAAGTATAGAGTGTTGCAGAGCAAAATTACTTATATAGAAAATTGCATTTCCTCTTTGTCCCATTCATGAAAATGCAGCTTACAGTGTATTATGGAAAGTTTGGGGTTTTTTTTTTTTTTTTTTTTTTTTTTTTTGTAGGTGTTAATGTAGTTATGTAATTAAGGGCCTGTCAGCATTTTCACTAAACTCTTGTTGTTCTTGATATGTAACTTAGACACTAAAGTGTAAAGGGCAAGCCTCACAAGGCTATATAGCACTGTAACTACAAAAATACCTGAAAAAGAAAGGAAAAAGGAAAGATGGTAACACAGGTTTCACAGAATGGTCAGGGCWATATTGCTTTGTATATGGATGGAAGGTGCATAAAGTAAGGCAAAAATATGTACTTTCCTGCATACATATTTAAGAACAATGATTGTTTTTCCAGAAGAGTAGCTGCTAATTTGGTAAATCTCTTTATTAACATAGGAGCAGATTGCTGCAAATGTATGCAATAATTTGTGTAGTTGCACCAGATTGCTGCTATTTAACGGGCAGCTTCTGCTATCTTCCTGTTTAGGAGGTAGTAAAGGCTCCCGAGTTTATCAGTGCAGGATAATACCCTTTTCCATCCAGTTTCCCCAGCTATATTTTCACACTACATGGCACATGCCACAAGGGAACTCTGTTCCCTTCAGTTCTCAAACAAAATCCCCTTTCCTCCACGCGCAAAGTTGATGTTTCAGACTGCGTGTGGTGGCTGCTCCCTCTTGGGCCCCGAAAGAGGAAACCTGGGGTTAGTAACTAGCACCCAGTTACTTCCCAGCCGTTTAGGGCAAACATGGGACCTCTCCCCTGGCCTGGTCTTCCCAACAGGGAAATGCAGCCGTGGGGAGCACAGAGGATGCCACTGCCACCAGGGCTGTGGGAGATCGGATGGAGGGGATCAGCCTCATGGAGCCAAAGTCTTGGCCATTTCTACTTTTTTATTTTTATTTTTTTTTTCCCCGCACACCCTGCAGCCTTTCCGTGAATTTCTCCACCCACACCCTAAGCGTGGCTCTTCCTCCCCGTCAAGGAGACACTCGACGCTCCCGCCCAGGCGCTATGGCCGCGCACCTGCCACCCGCCTCCCCGCACCCTAAGATGGCGGCGGGTCCCGCCGGGCGCCGCAACGCCCGTCCCGCCCGGTGCGGCGCGCGGGTCGCCATGGCGACGGGCGGCGCCTTAAGGCGGCGGCGGCGGCGCCGCGGGGTTGTGGCYGCGGCCATGGCGCACGGCAACCCCGTGGTGAGGAGCCGGCCCGGAGTGACGGGACCTGCTCCCGTCTGGCTCCGTCCTGGCGGGACGGCGGGCAGCCCCCGGGGCAGCCTCACGCAGACCCCTCCATCAAGGGCTGGGGGCAGCCTGATGCCTCCTGCCGGCTGCGCCTGCCAGCCCAGGGCACTGGGTTTGGGTGTTTCCGTGCCCTGGGTTTGTTCCGCTGGAGGCAGGTGTTAGTCGGGCTCTCTCCCTGCTTTCTGTGTTAAGGGAACTGGAGCTGCTGGTGTGGGGACCCCCTTGGGCTTTGCTTGGGAGCAGCGGGTGCTCCGGTTGTAGCTGCTGGATGAGGTTCAGGTGTAACAGCCAGCATGGTGTCCGTCTGCCCCTGTAACTGAGCTGTAGCTTCTGGTTGTTGTAAAGTACCTTTCCCTGGTAGCAGGGAACAGCTTCGCAGCACTGGGACATGAGTTTGTGTTAGGTTAGGCAACCGTGAGCGATCTCAATCCTGGAGTCCTGACTGCTGAGGTTTCCTGAAAATCTAAGCTCTGTATTTTAGCCTTGCGCTAACGGATTGTTCTGATAATTTAGACGGTTAGTGTTTAAAAAAAAAAAAAAAAAAAAAACTCAAAAATGCTAAGGGCTCTTTGTTATATTTGGTTATGAATGTGTGAACCTTGAAGCTTTTATGTGGCTATGCAGATCTGAGATGAGGATTTGCATATAATGATATTGCTGTGTGCAGGAGAGAGAAAATGTCACGTTTCAGTTGGCTTCTCATACAAGRCAAATGATATGTACTGATAACTGTGGTGTTAAGCTGTTAGGTGTGGTGATTTCCATACATAAATGACCGTATAGCATCTGATTATTGCCACAAAGGAATAATCTCTGTGCTTTATGTTCAGATTACTCACATACTGCTTCTGGCAGAGAGGTTGCTGCTTTTTTTGGTAGTTTGGATTGTTTTTTGTCCCTCAGGTTGGGGGTTATGRTGTTAGCCAGTGCTGCTAGAATGACACCACGCAGCAGATAACAATTTTAAATGGTCATTTCAAATAATGTTGGTGTCCTTGGCAGAGCTTTGAGCACATTGCCCTGATCTCTCTATTTTCAGCTTGCAGCAGTGGTTTATGCAGCCAGATTAGGCTTTGTGCCATCCTTGCAAATGACTTAATCGTCATCCTAACTTGTAAATGCTTTATTTTATTTAGCCTAAACTCTACAAGTCTGTTATCGAAGATGTGATCGAAGGTGTTCGGGAACTCTTTGCAGAAGAGGGCGTAGAGGAACAGGTTCTGAAAGACTTGAAGCAGGTTTGTTGGGATCAACTAAGTTAATAAAACCTCTGTCTTTCTATTTGCCTGCTGAAAGATGCAGATTTCCCTCCAACTTGGAGTTTCAAATATCCTGTGAAGCCAAAATGCAGTAGTAATTTTTGCTGTATTTATTGAATAGAACTGGTCAGTTCATTCTTAAAAAAAAAAAAAAAAAAAAAGGTGATATTTGATTATCATTGCAGTGTTTGGTTTGCTTGTCTCTTTTTAAAGCTGATACATCTGTTGATGTTGGTATTTTCTCTGCAGCTTTGGGAAACCAAGGTGATGCAGTCCAAAGCAACAGAAGGCTTCTTCAGACACAGCCACCAGCCGCCCCAGTTCACTGTGCAGTTACCGCAYGGTTTTCATCATGCTCTGCAGGCTTCAGCAGGTTGGATGTTGCTGAACACAACAGATGGTTGCACACAACAGATGCAAYTTAGGGATAGTTCAGTGACTGGAGAATCCTTTTAGAAGACTTGAGGGTGCTGGGATAATCCTGGTTTGTGGTGCTCGTGTGTATAGTATCTAGTAGAATGAAACACAGCGTGGATCTGAAAGTGGAATTTGACCAATAGAAGAAGACAAACTAAATTTTCATAAACTAATGCAATTGTATCTAGCAGCCCATGATCTGCTGWTTATTTCCAGCAAGAAAATGTGAAGTTTAGCCTTCGTGTATGCAGTGCAAAAATGTAACTTTTCAATTGCAAATTCACTAGAATGGTTAAACTTTCACTTCCTCGCAGCAATGTGGAGCATGRTGTGTCCTAAGGGTTACATAGCACGTTTGTGCCATGCAGCTTTGCTGTTGTGCTGGAGCCAAGTCTTTAAATATGAATCATCTCTAAATATGTGTATGTAGTTGTAAATGAAGTGAATCCTTGCTCAAATACAAGAGCAGGAGGCCTATTTTTTTTGTTGTTGTTGTTTGTTTGATTGTTTGTCTTTCAGTTTTTTAAAAGCAGGTAATTTGCATCACACAGAAGTAGTTGATTTTTCACACAAACTGACATCAAGGTCTGTTTGTCTTGATTAAGTCCAGCTGACCAGTGTGATAGTGTTAAGCTGGAATGCAGTGCTCTTAAAGCCTATGGAAATTTTACTTTTGACTGACTTTCTTGCACTGAGCTCAGTAGTGAAGGCTTTTGAATACCCTGCCCTACTGCTCCTGCCATTCACACCTTTGCATCAGTACTGGTGCAGAAAATCACTGACAAACTTTCCTCGTGGTAACAAGGCAGTGTATTTGAGACAAACATTCATGGTTGTGTTAAAATGGGAGCTTGCACATCTGTCCCTGTAGGTGATTTAGTAAGTAGAAATGTCATGCTTATTTTTTACAATGCAACTTACTTAAATACTCCCATTTAACTGTTCAATCTTTTTAAAATCATACTACCTCTAAGACTAGTTTTTGACAAAATGCAACTTTTCCAAAGTCAGAATATAAAACAATAAAGTCTGAATTGAACACGAATGTGAAGCAACATAAAAGAAAAGTGCGTTCAGCAACATAATGTAGATGTGCTTACTTGTGTGTTGTTCTTGTGAGCGTGAACTGAACTTAGATTATTATGCTTGCTGGAAAGTACTGAAGTACTGAGTGATCAAATATGTCTGTTTAAAATACATTTCTTTTTCTTTTAATAGCTTCTTTAGTCATCCCGACTGGCAGGGGTTTCCAGCATTTCACAGCAGCAGACCTGGTAGGTAGCTGTAGTGCCATTTTGTTTTCAGTTTGACTGCACTGAATTCTAAATGATAGAGTTAAGCTCCTCACTTGAGAGGACGTAAACATTAAGTATTCTCCAYGTGCTACTTGAGGACAACATTTAGAGACTGAAAAGGTAGCATTTCTCATGATAATTCTACCTGTACACAATGTAGTGTAGTAGACAAGGAAGCAGAAGTCCTTCTGAGAGAGTATCAGCAGCTGGAGAATCTGTTTGACACTTGTAGCCCCTCTTTTTCTGCTGAAAACCACACAGAAGTTGGGCTTTGCAGAGAGCAGACTGCTGTTGTAGTTGAGAAACAGCAGCATTAGTCCATCATGGAAGCAACATTACCTGAGAGGCCTGGAAGTAATCGAGAAGCAAGTGGGAGTTTTTGGAGTGACACATTCCAAAGTCTTCATATGGCTGAGTTTTTTGGAGAGAGGGGAGGGTGTCTCTTTTTTAGTGTCTTTTAAAGCTTGGTGAACATCCTGAGTGCCCCCTGAGCCTCTAACAACGCTGCTTGCCAAGCTGAAGTGCAACATTGGGATGTTACACACATACCTTGCAGGTTCCCTGGCATGTTTAATGGGCACTTCCAGGGAGCAGCTAGTAGAAAAGGAGAGCTGCATCCAACTGTTGGCTTTCTGGGAGAGATGAAAAGGCTATGAAGTGACTGTGGGCCTAGACAAGGAGCCTGTGCTGTGTGAAGCAATGCATGAGCTCAGGTACAAGCAGCTCTGAGCAGGCATTCTGGACCATGGGTGTGTTAAGGGGACACTTTCCAGTGGCCTAAACACAGCTGTGTTAAATGAGAGTTAGGCCCTAAGAGACCAAGCATGAACTGTGACTTACTGCAGCTGCTGTGTGTCTAGGGCGCCTCGCAGCCGGCTGCGGCTGTTGCCCTCCCGCCGGGTGTTGCTTAYCCCCTGCACGTCCCTGCCGGAGTGACGCTACAGACGGCGTGTGGTAAGACTGAAAACAGGAGATCTGAAACGGTGCTGTGTGTTGGGTGTGTGTGGATATTGAAAGATGCTCCCAAATGTAATTAATAGAAAAAGTGTGAAGTTCAAGTATAGCTGGATAGAGACAGTTCTCCTCTTCCTTATCCGTTACTGCTTGCAGTTGCTGCCTGGAGTAGGTAAACTGGCAAGCAACAATGTCGGCTAGGTACTTCTGCACTAAACCTTAACTTGGCTCCGCAATTGATGCCAGGTTTTGTTTTAAAAGTGTTGGAGTTTTTGTTTTAAAAGATGATGACATCATTGTCCTCTGAGAGACAGTCTTTCATGTTTTAAGCAATCAAAGACATTTTCTGTTGTGTCAGAATCAAGATTTACTACTTTAAATAAAATCCATCTGCCTCTTACTCTTTTTGTTTACCCTCTTTTGCGGGTGAAGTTGCCTAAGTTGGCTAATGTCACTACAGCATGTTGGCTGGTAGTGCTTAGAGTGTGAAGGCTCAGTCGTACGTCCCCTTCCAAAATGCTGGTCTCTGAATGCATGCTATCAGATGCCTATTTAATGTATGTCCTGAAGTTTTGAGAGCTATAGACTGTTTTCATTGAATCTGTGTATGTAGGTATATGTATAGATTCCTCATATGGTGGAGGTGGAGAATGGTTCAGTTATATGAAATGGGGAACCTGGCTCTCGCACCCTAGTTCTAACATGGATAGCAATAATAGTTTTAAGGGTTGGGTGTTTGKAGTGGCTCCCACACACAGAGAGGATGGGTACGCCAGGAGTCTTCTGCTGTAGGAAGAGATGGAGATGCCAAGTGGTCCTTAGGAGTGACCTATCCCTTTATGCAGGGAATGGCTGTTCCCGGTTGCCTCTTGTAGCCTCTAGTTTCTGAAGTGCCTTGGAAGCAGGTTTAGGTCAGTGGTGTGGTGGTGTAGGTGTGGTAGAACAATCCAGTGGGTCAGCCCTTCAACTGTAGGGCTCCGCAGCCGAAGCGGTCGCCGCAGTGGGTGCCTCCTCTCTCCGCAGGGCACCTCTACAAGGTGAACGTGCCCGTGGTGGTGGCGCAGGCCCCGGGGAGCGCGCGTCTCCTGCAGCCCCCGCTGCAGCTGCTGCAGGCCGGCGCCGCTGCCCCGCGAGGCCCGCAGCCCGCGGAGCGAGAGCGCCCGGCGGGCCCCGTCGCCGCGCCGCTGCTTCGGCCGCCCCTCGCGAGCGCAGCAGCGTGGAGCCAGCCAGCAGGCGCGGCAGAGAAGGCCCCGTGCGGCCGGCCCCGCGCGCCCGCGGTCCCTCCCGACCGCCCTGCCGGGTGCTCTGGAGCCGGGGCCCTGGCCGGCAGCCCCCGCGGCCTCCTGCCCGCTGCGGAGGGGCAGCCGGAGGCGGCGGCGCTGCAGCAGCAGGGGCCTGATGATCTCCTCGAGCTGCTCATCATGGGCAGCGCTCAGCAGGACCGCGCTGACCTGGAGGAGCAGGGCAGCAAGGTAGGACCCGGTGGGAAATGTGGGTGCTGGTGTCTGCGTGAAGGGCAGGCTCATAAAGCATGTCGCTAAACACGTCTGCAAGTGACAAAGGGCACTTCTTTTTTTTAAAGAAAAAGCTCTTTCTTGAGTTTATTTTGGATAGCAGCAGCTGACTGTTTAGGTTCATATTAGAATTTCAGTCACAGATATTGCAAAAATACTCGGATTGACCAAAATGTCAAATTCCTAAGCAAAACAAACAAAAAACCTGCCAAAACACTGAAATGGGTATAATGCATTTTATTATTATTTTATTTTTACTGAATATACATGAGGATCCCTTTGAAATCTACCAGGTCATTTTGCCACTGAACTTGTAGGTGGATTCTGGCYGTAGTGGACACATTGTTCTTGGAGTGTCCCCTGGGATGAATGTTAACCCCACACGTGTGAAGAGCAGTTAACTTGCTTTGAGATTCCTATTGAGTTTGAAAAATCAGATTTGATCAAAGCGAAAATCAGCTGCAAGGAAATGTGTTTCTTTAAATGATTTTAATTAACAAGCCTCTTTCTTGACTTCATCTAATCTTTGTTCCAGAAATTATTTACAGATATTTTATGTTCACATTATCTTGCTGACTTTGAGTTTTACTGCTTATGTGTGATTAAGGCAAATTTATTAAATGCAAATGAGAGTAAGTAGAAAGCATATTATGTTGCTCATCTGAACTTTAATGGTAGGGTGATGCAGACTGTCAGCAGGAAGGATARAAGGTCAAAACAAAGGGTTATTTTCTTGAATTAGCAAGTGTGTGTGGATGTGAATTCAGTGCTGCAATAAAGATTTAATGAGAAATGGGGGATGACTGAAAGCTTAAAGCCCTCGCACTCCTATGAGCTTTCTGCTTAGGAGTTGTAATGTTTCTGTGAGCAGTAACTTAAAGGATTGAAGTATTTACTCTTGTTCTCTGAACTTTTTGAATTTTACTTAAAGCATTTTGAGTTGGTGGAGAGTGAAGATCTTTGCCTTGACTTTTATTTGCAAAATGAGAAATACAGTTTTGGGGGATAGTAGCTTGTTGTGTATTTTCTTAATATTGGAATTTTGATATTGGAAGCACCATAGAAATTCTAGAGGCCAAGTCATCTTTGCAAAGAAGTAATTTGTTGAGTGCAACAGTGTGTGAAGTCTAGTAAACTGGCTTTCTTTGTTACTGAGGAAGAACTTAACATGGATTTCATTTGAGGTAGGTGTAAGCCCTAACTACAAGCAAAAATCTTGTTCTTACAAGTAGTCCAGGACTTGAAACTCATATGAAAGTGTCCCAGAATTTGTTGCTGTATTGTGAAGATCTGAGGTTGTGCACTGAACAATGAAAGCTTTTCACTGTTGGTTTCTAAGGTGCTTCTGGTCTCTTTTATTCCTGTCAGGTGGAATCTGCTGGGCAGATGGAGCCCAATTTACACCCAGGGAAGGAGATCTGCAGTGACATTGAAAGCATAATTCAGCTGGATGGAGCTGGCGATTTTTCTCCCAAGGAAGAAGTAGCACATCCAAAAGATATGGAAGAGAATGAGTTCATTGGCTTTATTGAATCTGAAGATCTAAAAGTTCTGGAGGATGAGGATGAAGAGGAGGACGAGGAAGGGGACAGCCTTTCAAGCACAGRGTCAAGCAGCAGTAGTGGTGTTAATGAAGAACCTCAGATAGATCTAGTTGAGGAGGTAATTGGCTTTCAAGCATTGTGGAGCAACTTGCAGTTGTTTCTCTGTCTCGGGTATTGAGCTGGAGAACCCCCAATATCTCTGGCTTATTTTGCCTGGAGAAGCCCCAGCTCGGCTGCGTRCCCTGGAGGCAGGTGGCACTACTGAGGAATTATTTGAGAACTCGCTATGAGAAGTGTGAACAACAACAAAGAGTTCAGAATCTTTGTTTATTGGATGGATTAAAACACTTAATTAGCAGAACTGAAGCCCTATGGGTGAAGTTTTGACCTCAATAGAATGGGTTTTTTTTTTAAGGTCAGGATAGAAATCTAGCTTGCTTTTCTTTGAAGAGCTGCAGGGGCTTGTTTGGAGAAGAGGGCAGCATGTAGCACAGGTGTATTTGTTTCCAAGGAAAAGGCTCTTCTGAAAGCCGTGTCACTCTGTCCTTGGAATTCCCAGCAGAGTCTGCCTCTGGAATCCTGCCTGGACGAGCGGCAGCTGCGCGGCAGTCCAAGCTCTCCGGCCAGCTCTGCCCTTAGTCAACAGGCTCCTTAGCTCTGACCCACGTCCCTGGCTTTAGGGGCTTTTCTTCCTCAGAAGATGAGCATGTAAAGATGCAACATGAGCTTCCGAGTTTCTAGCTCTTGTGTATTTTGTTCTGTGTAGTGTGTGGGGGTAACCTTTGGCATTGTATTAGTGTTTAATGCCATGTATACTCTAATGTGAAAGAATGTTTAAAAAAAACACTACTTAAATACATTTTTATTGTCTAGGACCCCCTAAATTCCGGTGATGATGTCAGTGAACAGGACACTCCTGACTTGTTTGACACGGATAATGTGATAGTGTGTCAGTATGACAAGGTACAGTATATAAGTTTTATCTTTGTTCCTTAATCATTTTAAATAATRTCTTCAGCAAATTTGTGTCAGTGCCTTTTAAAGAAAATGAAATGCCTTAATAACTGAGGGTGTAAATTGTTTAGCTGACAGTTATAGAAGATGTGATTGCTGTTTTCTGAAAAAGAGAAAAGTAAAGGACATATAACAGTCTGCTAAAGCAAGGCAGAAGAGGGCTGAATCTTGAAAAATGAAAACTTGTAATATTGCAAATGCTTAAACACATGCTGAACTCTGAAGTAATAGGAGCCCCTTCATGGATATATGCCTTTCCAGCTAGGAATTAACACCATTAAAATGGGTAATAGGAAAGAAGTGTGTCATCTTTTTATATTGCATGTCCTTAAAGTGCTTCCTGAGAAGATTTTTATTATTACTGCTACCAGAAATCTGTTTTTTTTTTTTTTTTTTTTTCTGACAAGCAAGACACTTAAGGAGGACAAAAGGCCCATCCTATGTAAATGCTTGAAGTTCAGCTTTATTTTGAACTATTGTGGAACAAAATTTTTTTAAAAAAATTTGGTATTTTTCTGGGTGCTTGTACATCTATAGTAGTATAAAAGCTGACCAAACAAATTGAAACCAAACGTGGAAAGCTGTCGGATAGTGTGTGAAGAAAGTGACTTTTAAAGTAACCAGGGATTCCTTTGGTGAGCTCAGCTAGGCCCACATGAATGGGGTCTGTATTCTGGGAAAATTGGTCTTTGTAAAGGTGTAAAGGGGGATGTTTCTGAAAAGACTGTTTTGAAAAGTGTAGCTATAACTACAGTTGTATAGCTGCACATATAAATACATATGTGTAGAAAATGCAGCTGAAACTGAGTGACAGTGTTGTTGGTCTGCGCTGTGTTGACTTTGTGCTGATACTCTAAGTTTCCAAATTTAATTTATTGAGATGTTATGAATGTGATRGGTAGTTGATGTTATCTGCAACAAGTCTCTTCTGTGATTAAACTGAAAATTAGTTACACTTCTAAAAATTGATACTGAGAGCAAGACTGGAACTGCCTATAGGAATTAAATAACCGATACTATAAATTGGCAGTTGTGGACTACTTTATTTGATTTTCATTGTATATACCAAAGCAAGAAACAGAAATTATTTGTTATTTCTTTCTTGYACAGACTTATTAAAACATTTAAGTCTGCTTTTTAAATTAAAAGAARAAAGGATGTGAACAGTGTTAAAAATCTCCATTATCTTATTGCCTGTGAGAGACTGCTGCAGAGAAAAGGACTGTTCTTGCCCTGAAAATCCATTCTGCAGTGTAGATGTTTTGCAGGCCTCTTAGGAAACAGAATAGGAAAATTCTTGCCTGCTGTTTGTATGAGAGTACCTGCTTTTGAGCAGAGCTTTGCTGGGCTTTGCTTATCCCAGGAGCGTGTGCAGGCCGCGCCGCCCGCCTGGGAGCGGGAGCGAGCGCGCTGCAGCGCGGCTGCGCCTGTGGGCGGCTGCTGCTGCGTGCGCCAGGATGGGAGCAGCTCTCACACGGCTCCCTTGCTCTCCTGTCCTTCCTTGTGCCTTGTTGGCACTGYAGGCTGCTCCCCTACCTGGTTTTTGGGGGTGAGGGATAGAGGGTGTCCTCTATAGTGACTGGTTTTGAATGGGAGACAGGAGAGCTTGAACACGACAAGATGAAGCAGTTCCATTAAAGGCAGGAAATTCCTAATAAGCAGCTGAAATCTGCTGCCAGACTTTGTGATCTGTTAAGAGCAACCTTGCTTAACATGTTAGAGGCTGTCAGAATGTTAAAGCAAAACTAAGGTGTGGGAAGTAAGTCGTGCTTAACAACCGCTGTGTCTTTATGCATGCTCTAATGTATGCTTTGGGTTTGGGGGGGCCTTGATTTAATTCTTTTATCAGATACATCGAAGTAAGAACAAGTGGAAGTTTTACCTAAAAGATGGAGTGATGTGCTTTGGAGGCAAGGACTATGTTTTTGCAAAAGCCATCGGAGATGCAGAGTGGTGAAACTGCACTGGAATAGGTACTTTAATGAGCGTGCATTTATTCCCTTAGGACCATTCTGTGCAGCGGCTAAACACTCTCCTGCTTTGCTATTCTTCTCTAAAGAAAGAACAAACTTCAGCTTGTTAAACAAAATGTGTAAAATCTGTGCAGTTAATAATGCAAATTAAAACCCTGTATTGTTAGCTATTCAGCTGTATTTGCTGCTCTTTTCTGATTATTTCGTTCCTTTTCCCCTAGGAAGCATAATTGAAACGAACAGCTTTAATGACTAAAATGCTGAGTTTATTAATAATTTAAGAAAAAGCTGTGGAATACTAGCTGACAATACCTAAGTAAATTCCAGCGCCTTTGGTTCTCTTTAAATTTTTAAGYCAGTGAACATATGACTTCCTTTATAAACAACTTAATTCTTGGAGATTTTTCCATTGGGGAGGAAAAAAGCTAACCCTTGTGCAAGTTTGAGACCTGTGGCTGTTTCAACTATGCGCTTTTTCCTTTTTCTCTTTCCTCCTTTTCCGTTTCTGCAGTTTTTTGTTTGCTTCAGTGTCAAGGCAAGCACTTTAGATGTAAGCTGAGAAATGCGAGTGGAAGACCTTGAGCTACCAAAATATGAGAATTTCTTGGTTGTTTTTCTTACCCTCAGTGTCTACTGAGATGCAATTAGTGTGATTTACCATTAAAACGTGACTTATTTTCACTGTCAATGCAAGTCATTTATCTCTCCTTTACATATCAGCTACCTTCTCTGGCTACAGATGCTGAAGCTGAGAGTGATGCAGACTGTGCATGAGAAAAGGTCCCTTGTGAGCCGTGTTCGGGTGCCCTCAGGGAGCGCCTCGGCGCTCCGGGTGGGCGCCCGGCAGGGCTCCCGCTCGAAGGGAGCGCCTCGGCGCTCCGGGTGGGCGCCCGGCAGGGCTCCCGCTCGAAGGGAGCGCCTCGGCGCTCTGGGTGGGCGCCCGGCAGGGCTCCTGCTGTGCCCGGGTGCCCGTGCTGAGCAGGGGCAGCAGTGCCACAGGGCAGAGGGACCTGGGCACCCCCGGGCTGCCGTCGCGTGTGACCATTTGCTGACTGACTTGAATGGGGCTCCGCAGAGCAGCACTGCTGGGTCAGGAACCCTTACGCTGGGCAAAAAGGTCCTTATTAAAATGCAAGTTGAATTCAATTTCTGTAGCTACGACAGCTCGGAGTGTTTTTGGTCTCAGCAGTTTGCTGCGTGGATGCCTTTGATGGCCACAGTTCAGCCAGTGCCCCTGCCTGCAGGTGTGCTAAGGGGTCTGTGCCTCCAGCTGGCTCACTGGCTGCACCTCAGTGAGCTGCTGCCTGGAACTGCACAACGCGAGAAGGAAAGCTTCCCCAGAACAATGAGGCGGAAAAAGAGCTGTAACTTGTAGGAGAAGCTTTGCATGAATCTAAATATTTAATAAGGCCTCCCTCTTATTTGTTCAGTTTTGTGTGCGGCACTACTTGACAGCTCTCTCTCTAAATAAAAAAAAAAAAAATGGTGCTTGTTTCTTCCATGGAAGATATCACTGAATTTACAGCCAAGCACAAAAAGGAAAATCCTCGCAGCTTTCCTTCCGTTTTGCTGTTGTGTGCACATCCTCTTTCTCAGATCAGTTATAAGAGCTGTACTGTCACTGTTTCCAAGTCCTTTCTCCTGCACGGACAGTTTTCTGATCTCCTTAGGTGGAAAGGAAGGCTGTGCTTGCAAGTGCTTGTCCCCCGGACCTGTAACCCGGGTAAGTGGGGGCAATATCTGCTCCAGACACTGTGCTGGCCTGTCCCAGAATGGGTGTAGGTTCTTCCTTGTGCCATCTAGAGAAACAATCTCAGAAATCATTTGAGACAGGCCAGAAAAGCCCACAGCCCCATTTTCTATTTTTACAGTGTCTTAAGTTCCTTTTACAGCTAAGTMGCCTGAAAGTAGTTCAGTTCTCTTTTACTGGGCTCAGAAGCTGGTAGGTCTAGAGAGGAGCCTGGCTTGTGCTTTTGCTGCTCCTAAGCAGTATTTTTAGCAGTGCCCTTTGCTTCCCGGCCCTGCGGGATGCGGAGCTGGTGCACGGTGCCGCCAGGGCCACGGRCGCTATTTCTAATTAGGCAATTACAAGCTAATGAGAAACCAGACACTAGTACAAAGAATCGCTTTGGCTAATGCAAAACTTGAAATGCAGCGTTGTGTCTTGGCAGCCAGATGAGTGCTTTGGAACACAGGTTTTTACTCCATTTCTATTAGAGATTTTGAAGTGAAAGACTCTGTTGGGCAAGAAAAATACACAGTCGAGAGTGGCTGCTGGCTGCAGTAAATGGCACTTCCTTCTTGTGTATCACGTTTTCACTGGCCGTGAGGAGCTGATATAATGAGGGACTCTTACACAGCTCTGTTCCTGGCCTGCCTGCAGGGTAAGGGGTGTCCTGTGAGCTGAGGATGTGGCCGGGGCCTCTTCAGGCATCAGGGATATATCCTGCACGGAATGTGATCTGAGAAGATCAACAGTTGGAAGCCCAAATGAAAAGCATTTGCTTTAGCCTCTGTGAACCAAAAATGGCTGAGTGTGGGTCTCAGACCAGCATGTTCTTTTGACAGAAACGGTCGGCAGTCCCGTGTACCTCCTCTTTGAGGTAATGCAACTAGTCAAGAATAAGCAACCCAAGGGACAGCTGGTTCTGCAGCTTGGAGCTACTGCATGCATTTTTTGCCGATGTGACCAAACTTTTGTTGAGGATTCAATAACCAAGGCCTTCATTCTCAGCACATCACGCCAGGGCAGAATGTGGCCTCCCCTGAAGGTGGCAGGGCAGATCTGCTGTGCAGTGGGAGCACAGAGGGCTTCAGGGCATTCGGTTCAATGTGCAGCCTGTCACCCATGAGAGGCTATTTGCCCCATGAGATCCAGGTGAGGACTTACAGGTCTAATTCTCCCATTTCTGTGCAGTGGGTTGTTAGCTTACGGCAACCGAGCTGCATGAGTGGCAGCCTGTTTTMTGTGAACAGAATAAATGTTGTACAACAAGGGAATGTTCAGTCCTGACTGAAGTTAGGAGAGCAGCCACAAATCTGGATCTCCTTAGCATCAGGCAGAGCATGGTGAAAGAAAAGATAGATTTCTATGGGAAAACAGCCACTGGGAAGTAACTGTTCTGCTTAAGCAGCTGGAAAARGGGGTGGAATGTGAGTGCCAAGAAGTCCTCGGTGATGCCAGCAAGGGGAGAGAAGAAAATAATGCGCAATATTGTTCCTGAAGATAAATCAAGGCAGCAGTTACCTGTCTGTGCAGGTAGCAGCYATCCTGCTGCTGCGACGGGGCCTTCGTGGGCTGCACTTCATGTGCGTGTGTGCGCGTGCACAATACACGAAGCGTGCTGTGGAGTAAGTGGGGCAGTTGGGGTAATCTCAGTTACTTCCAGGTTGTACATGGTGGGGGTACAGGTTAATCTCTCTTAAAGTAAATCTCTTGCCTACAAGCTCAGTCTGAGCTCCAGYGTAAACTGTGAGCCTGCCGGTCACGAAGGTTCAGCAGGTCAGATGTCACCTTGGGCGACACCTTTGCAACCCCCTGCCTGCACGTTGCTCTCTAGCTGGGTGCTGTAATGGGGAGTTTCTGCTGACGAACTGCAGGGAGGCATCGAGCCTAATGCCCCTCTGTTAACCCAGCAATGCCAGCACAGCCGATGGAGGGGAGAGGAAGTCCTGAGGAGGCAGAGAGGCTTTCAATGCCCCAGGGAAGCACATCTGGAGAGAAGGGAGCCAGGCTGCACCACTGCTTTGAGTAGAAGCAGCACCCGGTAACTTCAAGAGCACATKGGAGTCCAGTCAGCTTGGGGAGGTGCAAAGCTCCACATTTGGACTCCCCAAGCTCCCCTCAAAAGACGCATTTTGCCTAACAAGCATCTTCCATATTTACTGCAACAACAAAAGAAAAGGGAAAAATGTTACTGCGAAGCTCAGGACAGTAACGTTGTGTAAGAATTATTGTCACATTTATTTACTGCAAAACGCTCGAGGTACTGCAGCAGGCCCTGGAGTGGTCACGGCTGACGCTGTACGGAGCAGGAGCGAGGGCTGCTCCAGGTTAACTTTCCTTGCGCGCGGCCGCGTCCCGCACCGCTGGGAAGGGCTTCTCGAGGGCGGAGAGGAGCAGCAGCGCTCGTGGCGCTTTGCTGGGGCCGTTTTTGCAGTGGGAGGTGTAGGCGGAGAAGTAGTTCATCCTGTAGAGCTCGGCACGGCTCTTGCAGCAGCCCAGCCTGCTCAGCAGCAGGAAGAAATCCCTTCGGAAGGCCTTGGTGAAAATCGCGTACAGGAAGGGGTTCGCGCAGGAGTTCACCGGGTAGAATAAAACCAGCAAAATCTTGGAGTTGGTCACTGTGATGAGAGGCACTTTGAAGGCGGCGGATATGGCAAAAAAGGAAATGGGGGCCATGCAGGTGAAATCGGTGAAGATGAGGATGGCCATTCTCTTGGCGATCTTGGTGTCTTTATTGGCAGCCACCAGCTCCGGGTTTTGAACGGCTATGTAAATCTTAACGTAACAAGCGCAGATGACAACAAAGGCCGCAACGTTTAACACCAAGACAGTCAATATGTAGGCTTGCGAAAGCGCCGTCTCAACGTCCATGGGCAAGCAGATGCTGACCTTCATGTAACTGCTGACCCCCAGCAGGGGCATGGYGGCGATGGCGATGGAGAAGAGCCAGCCGCCCAGCATGACGGGCACGGCGTGGCGCAGCCGCAGCTTCCTGTCGAGCCGCATGGCGTAGGTGATGGTGTACCACCTCTCCACGGTGATCACGGTCAGCGTGAACACCGACAGCTCGCTCGCAAACACCGTGAAGAAGCCGGCCGTGCCGCAGCCGCTGCCCGTCTGCCACTCGATGGCGTGGTTGTAGTACTGGCCGCTGGTCTGCGCGTCCACGGCGGCGATGAGCAGCAGGTAGAGCCCCATGCAGAAGTCGGCGAAGGAGAGGTTGCACATGAGGAAGCGCGGGACCGTGAGCTTGTAGTGGCTCGTCAGGAGGACGAGCAGCACCGTGAAATTGCCGGCGATCGCCAGGAGGTTTATAAACCAGATGAGGATTCGGAGAAAGCTGTAGCCCAGGATGTCCTCGCAGGGATTGAACGCGTCTGGCTCYGGAGTGCACGTGAGTATCTTCGGTTGACAAAAGTCATACTCAAAACCTAAGGCAGCCATTTCGTCCTCGTCAAAAAGAGCTGAATAGCTGTAAGGAGAGGCTTCTTCGTCCGCTGCCAACGAGGCCGTGTCCTTTTCCAGTGACCACAGCGATGCGTTGTAAGAGTCATCCCTGTAGCTGTTGAAGAACAACCCCACACAAAAAGTGAATGGCTTGGAACTATCTGTTACGTGTTGCTCGCATTCTTTTATAAAATACACCGGATGAAAGWTGTTTTAAAGCACATACTTTCTAGTTGTGTTTCTACAGAGTGTTTGCACCCAATGAAGCCTGGTAAGGATGGCTTCTGCTTGCTGGCAGACTGGGAGAGCAGAAGAGGCCACAGCCACTTCCAGAGCGATGCTCTCTCAAACCTGGTTGTAAGTGCTTTATCTGGATTGCTTTCTAGGTGAGAAATGCTAAGAAATTGCAGGTTAGCAGTATTRTAAAGCGAGTGGAAGTGCATGGTTAACTTGGAAGAATATTTTGGTGTGTAGGGATATATGAAGGTTAGACTGGACACAGGGCCCTGACGGGGTAAATGTAGCTTAGATGTGGAAGGGGGAAGAGCCTCGCCGTGCTCTCCACGTGCTGCTCCTCGCCAGCTGCTGGGCCGGCTGGAGCTGCCCAGAAGGATCAAGTCAAATGTAGTATCGGAGACTGGAGGTCCCTGCAGCGGGGAGGGCACAGAGSAGGAAAATCTCCAGAGATCCTCAGGTTCAAAGCCGTGCAGGGCACAGCAGCTCGCTGAGGGGTCACCCCATGACATGGTTAATCTTTAAGTACTGTGAAGGGCACGGGGCAGCACGGAAGGTGCAAGAGCAGCATCTTATGGAGTTTGTCTTCTAGGTCTCAGTGCCTCCTATATACTAGCCCCCTACCCTGTAATTCTTTGACTACATCTAGCAACACAGGTAGAAAAGCTCTTTCACTGTGTTGAGATGGTTGTTAACAAATAATGACAGGTGTTGGTCTAACAAAAGCCAAAGCAGTGAAAGAGAAATGAGTAATTACACATGGTTTTAGGTGTTTAAAATAACACTTTTTAATCTCCAGGTCATTAATAATGTGGAGATAAGCCTACAAAAGGAAAAAAAATTTAAAAGCAAGCACTTATCCTTCTGGTTCCATGCCAGAATAACTATGATTTCACAACTAAACAATCATGAAAATCATTAGTGTTCATTGGGAGAACATGCAGAGAATTGGTAGCTCTGGGTCAATTTAAATACCAGCTTAAAATTCCATCTCACCTGAGTATAGACATTAAATTATTTTTCTGGATCAAGGTCTTAACTGGCAAATGAAGTAGGGCTGCTTCTCAGATATCTTTACTGAGCTTCCCGATTGCTTCTTATCCTAACTGCTTTCTATCTGCATGAAAAAATGCCCCATGTCTTGCATTTGCTTGCTCAGCTTAAGTTGGAAGAAGAGGGACTATGTTTGCCTCTTTATTTATAGACCTGGGCAAGCTTTTTGTCTGTAATGATAGCTCTGGATTTTGAGCCAATTTCTATTGTGGTCCCCAAACTCTTCTGCTTGCAGCCGTTCTGCTTCAGAATCACGACCCTTCTTCCATTGCAGTGACTGCAGTTCTGCTCATGGCCTCTGCTCAGAGAGCTGCTGGAACTGGACTTAGCAAAGCAAACAGCTTCAGCAACTAGTAGATTCAGACTATTAGTTTTGATATTAGCAGTTCTTATTGTCTTGCTTGACACTGTCAAACAGAAGTGTGATGATAGGGAAAGACACAATTAGAGCAGGTAAAACAAACGTATCAAGTCACCAAAGTTCTTATAACTCAGGAACTCCTTTTGTTTCATGGAAAACTTGACACATTCTTTTCTATTAGCGAAAATTAACATTGGCATGTCTTCTTTGAAACACACAGCCACACTTATCTACTAGACATAGGCATAGAAAGTGTCCACATAGGCTCTTAGCTTTCTCAAATACTTAATCACTGTTTTGAAAGACTTAATAATTCACCTGGAAATGACTACAATCCAAGAGATTATTTTGGGGGGGGCGGTTCTGAAAAATTAAGATCACAAATCTTGATTAAATAATAGTAAAATTATCACTGTGCAACTCTTGTAACTTGAACTGTAATAGAAGACATGCTGTTCCACAAAAATGCATATGCAAAACTGCAAAAATAGCAAACATGCTATTTCCAGCTTCTGGATATAGAGAGGTACTTACAATATTTCATTAGCTGATTTCCTCATGGTGCTTTCACACTCTTTAGAGAAGTTGTCAAAAATGGAAAGCAAGGAATTTGGCCTGTAATAAGGATGAAAAGAAAGTTGATTTTCAATGTATACTTCAATCATTCTCAATTATATTCTGTAATATTGTAGTGAAATATTGACTATATTGAAATGGGACAGACTCTCAGCCATTGTAGGTGGTAGCAGCTAAGCTGGCTTCTARAGAAGTACATCTTTTTACAAGTGCTGGAAAGCTGGTCTTATTCTTTTAAAAAAATTGCTTGGAATTTGCTTGTAGACTTCAAATGTAGGAAAAAARGTAATTTGTGAAGAACAAATGAAAAGACCATGTATTTGCTAAAATTTCTAATTTTGAGGCTTTGAAATTATGGGGCATGTTCTCTTCCAAGAAATACCTTTGTCTGACTTCTTTTCTGTGGCAGTAGAAAGATCTTGGAAAAACCCTAAGCTCTTCTGAGTATTTTTTAAGAGAATCTTGGAAACCTATTGAAAGATTTATTTACAGCAAGAGAAATAGTGGTTTAAAATACTAAAATAAACTCCCATCTGATATTTCTAAATAACGAGTTGACAAGAGAAGTTGGGTTTTTTTGTATTTTTTTAGGTGGTGCTATGTGCTGCTTTTTGCTTTACATTCTGTCCAGTGGAGGAAAATCTTGAGAACAAAACCCTACCTTCCTCCTCTTACATGGCTCCGTGGATGGGCACGCCACTATGGCACCCCAGAAGTCTCCAGAATATTGGATTTTAAGACTGTTTCCTTAAGATTGTTGATGCTGGTTTAAATGTTGTGTCAGAGGTAGTAAGACCACCATAGCTCAGTGACCGGATAGCACAGTTCATAGGTGTTGAGGAACGGGATCTAGGACAGGGTAGTTATACTGGGGCAGGATGGCTGTAGGCAGAGTACAAGGCCACAGAAGTGCCTAGTAGGAGACAGAAAYAGGCTGCTCTAGACCTGAATGCCAGCTCAGTAGATATGGAATTACATGGGAGTGCGTGACAGTAGGAACTGCTTGACTCCTGTAGGAGCAGGAACCATGTAGTAAAATAAGTGTACAGAGAAAGTATCTAACTGCTGCAAAGATTTGGAGTCTATTCCTGCTCTTGCAACACAATCCTTACATGATGGCAGGCAAGTCGCACATGAATGTGGTTTCCCACAACTAGCTGCCTAATACATCTTTTCTGTAGTCTTCACTAGAGACCCATAGATTACAAGTGTGGCACGTCCATAGCCTCAGCTGAACTCTCTTGGAGTGGCTTTGGCTGCCTAAAACCAAATGAGAGCTGATTTACTGACACAGAAATGCTAGAAAATTACCCCTGTTTGTACATGATTGATTGTCCCCAATCAGCAAATCCAAAGTTCTTCCTGTGCAGTTTCCAACTTGGAAACAGGAAGAATAGCATTATCTGTTCTTATTTGAAGGGTTTGGAACTGAGCTTCTTCAGGTTGTGTCAGATACTTATTTTGGTAAATGTGTAATTGAAAGCCTGCCATTTCTACAAGGTCATCATATCACCTGCATTAARTAAGTTGCCTAGCTAAAGGCTGCAGGAAGTTCTTTATTTAGGACAACACGCTGTTGACTGTGGTGGAAATACGTTTTCCATTTGCTAGAACTTCTTCCTTTTTTTTTTTTTTTAATTGAAATATGAAGGAAAATGTAAGCCTTAAGCAAACTTAGAATAATGCTCCTGCTGGCAGATACTGGGCACAGGATGACATCCATTTCTGTTCTGAAATAAAGGGAAATTAGATTGCTGGCTTTGGCAGACATCTGTTGTTTGTGTGATGCCTTGTTATGTTCCACAGCTTTYTTGTAACTTGAATAAGGATAAGGTTCTGTGAGCTGAACAAAGCAGAATTGCCATTTTGGAGTTTCTGAAGTACAGTGATACAATACTGTGCTATTTGGGCTTACTTTTCAGTCCTTATATTTCTAAAAGCACAGCAGTGGCTGGGATAAGTTAAAACAGCTTCCAGAAGGTTACTGAATTTATCCAGTGGTGGCAGTCTCTTTAAAGAGTAAGATGATGTTGCGTTTAAGACTTGAATAGCCTCCAGTCCATAACTAGGCAGGGATTCCAGAGCTGTTGAAGAAATATCCCTGCAAAGTAAAGAGAACATTTTCTTTTGATACGTATAAAAACAGCAACAAAGCATGAAGTTGGATAACAGTGATTCAGTTATTCACAAAGGTCTAAATCCATAAAGCAACTTCAACACTGGATCTGCAGCACAGACAGGTATCCTTTCTTTTCTTGTCTGTACTCAGCTRATGTCCAGCCCTGAGACACTAAAGTTCATGTCTGCCTGACTTGGTCTCTACTTGGTACAGGTGAATTCCTGGTTCTTATATCTAAAGCTAATGTCTTCTGTCTAAGCCAACAACTTGGCCTCTTCCTACCCATCTGTCCCAAGAGCTTATTCCAGGGGGTGTTCTTGGAGCGTGCTGTTTAGGTAATGTGAAAGTTTCAATCAAGAATTTAAGTGCTTCTCTATTACATCTGAAGCCCAGTTAGGCAAGAAGCTGATGTTGTCCTGGGGAAATTGAAACACCCCACAATGAGGTTTGTGTCCTAACTTTKCTTGGAAATCACTGTGCATGGATCCAAGGGAAGGTTACTTAGGCCAGGGAAAGACAAATAAGGTGGAGAAATGTGACTCTAGCCAGCTTCACAGTAAGAACACCACCCTAGCTCTTTTCTTTGCTCTTACAGGCTGCTTTAGGTGCTTTAATTGAACAGTTACTAGTTAAAACATATTAATTAAAACACACAATGCTTCATGGCATTGCACTAATATGTCTCACTGGTCTGTAGAAGGTAGGAGGTCCAGTATCCTTTCTAAAGAAAAACAAAAAGCAAGCAAAGACCAAAAACACCCTCCCTTTTCGCTGAAATAATGTAGTTTACTAAGCACAGGGGGGACACCTATAAAATCAGGTAATAAAGTGCTTTGATACTTACAGAACATCTGGCCCTGTGGCCCCCCTCAAGGCGTCGTTGTGTATTCTCCTGAGGTTTTTATTGTCCTTCAGAATTCTGTGGAATCAAACACCATTAACTCTTCTACGCTTCCCTGGGTTTGAGCTACGTTTTCAAGTTTTACACAACTGCTGCTAAGTTTAGAAATTTATTACACTTTAGTAATTAAGAAGAGTTGTTCTTGTAACTGCATTATTTCCAAAGATGATGTTTCAAGAAAAACACAGTAAATACTGCAGAATCAGCMACTTAGTGGCAAAGGTCAATGGCGCCAAAATCTGCAGCTTTCCAGTGGGCATCAGGAAGTGCAAGATGCAGCAGCTGATATGAATGGTGAGCCTTTGAGAGCATGGAATTATGGTTTACTCGTAAAGAAAAATCCTGAGAAGGGAAAACATACTCACAATTGATTGAGCTTTGTCCCRTTGAAGGCGTGACTGTGGATATCTTCAAATCCATTTTTATATAATTTGCTGAGAATAAAAAAAAAATGCATAAGGAAAAGAGATTTGGGAAAATAGAATATTWCATTATTGTACGTTTCAATTCTTAAAACTGTATTTGTTTTAATACTTGAGAGTCTGGCTTATAAAGGACATAGGTAACACTAGCATGGGGTAGGCAAGACTGACATAGTTTTAAAATCATGATAAAATTGCAACTTAAATTCACTAAACACCTTATGCTTAGGAGAACTGGTGTTTCCATGCAGAATTTCCCTGCTCTGAGCAGGTCAGTGCCTGTGCTTACCTTGAACTGAGATCCCCAAACACGACACTATTCCAGGTAAGAGCCTTGCATGAAAAAACTGGATGCAAGACTTCTCTATGAAACAATAGACCTGGATTCTGTGGTTTCTGCATAGGACTCTACCCTCCGAGTCAATGGGCTGGGGCTCGGCTGTGACTTTTCTTTCCATCCTCCCTATGGCAGCAGTGCCAAATTGCAGGCAGCGCTGCAAGACTGCAGAGGTCAGAGAAATCCAAGCTGGAAAGCTGTGCTGAAGGCCAGTGGGTGCTGCTGGATTGCGAATCCCGTGTGGATACAGAAGTCCTGCTAGAGCCCGAGGGGTGGCTGGCAGAGCCGGGGGTGACTCGCTCCTAGCCCAGCGTGTGTTGAGCTGTTAGTGCTCTGCTCAGCACGCGGCCAGGCTTCAGCTGTGCACAGGAASGTGGCTGGCCGCTCGGGGAGACGAGGGGCCCATTGCTGTGTCTTAGTTCCCCATGGGGGGAACCTCAAGGCTGGGCCCACAGCACCTACATTCCAGCTCCTTTCCTTCGCTAGGAGATAAGAGCTGTGGGTCTGATTTCACTGGGAAAAATCCATTTGGGCAACAGGTGGCCAAGTTAATGTTTCCAAAATAATTTGCATATATCTGTTTTCTTTAGTATTCTGCCTTAATATAAAATTTGATGCAGTTTATAAATGCACCCTTTATCTCTACAAATGTTTTCTTGATGCTTTTTCACTTGCTTTTGGGTGGGCTGAAATGGGAAGCAGCAGGGACTGACAATGCAGATAGTTCATGAGTTCCAGTTCCCAGGTGGCTTTGACTATGTGTTGTTATCCACTGAGACCTCCTCAGCAACTTGGGATTAACATATTGTAAGGGCAGCTGTCATCTCAGTCACACTCAAATAGACATTTCATATCTATTTACAAATATAAATCCTGTACCACTTTAAATATGAATTTTACTTCCGATCACACCTCACACTTTCCTATGAATGAATTTACAGTAAGTGCATTACAGTTCCACTGCACTCTAATTTTAATACTAAATCAATGTGACAGCATTCAAAATATGCTTGCTGGATATTAGTAATTTCCTTAAAATTCACCGTGAATATGCAGCATCAATTCTCTGTGCACCCTCTTCCCACATCCAYATGAAAAACTAACTACTGGAAAGACTAAATTAGCTATTAGTAGTGCAAAGTGTTACCGTAGGCTGAATTTACACCTTTATGGATTACTTGTACATCACTAGACCATGCTGCAACAATCAGAATTACTTCAGCTAATTACAGCTAATTACATAGGCTGGAGTTAAAGCACAGCTCTACAATCAGGGAGCTGCTGATTAGGTAGTTCTCTTATTCCTGTTGTGAGTTCTTTATCACAAAACAGTAGGAGAAAAATGATTCGACTGGTTATTTCCCAGCTGGGACTTAGACCCTTCCATTTTATATGCTTTGGGGTTGCAGCAAAATTTTAAGCATCTTTTTCAGTCTCTTGTATATTTTTTTCTTTTTACTTTTAACAGAATCATAATTTTACTGAAGTTATTTTGAGAACTTCCTAGCAGAAAAAAGGCACAGAGGATAACTTTGTGTAGGACTAGCCTTAGGTCAGGTTTATGTCCAGTTCCTCTGACAGTTTGCAAAGGTATTGGTCAATACAGAAAAATTTGTGCACAAATTACTGTCACACCAGCACATCAGCCTGCTGACTGAAGGGCCTAATTTAGTCAACTAGAGCACTTGTTCATGTGCACTGCTAGTCTGTAAAAATATTTGGTGAGTTGTGTGCTGGGGTTTTGGAAAATGAAAAAAAAAATAGAAAAAGGAAAGGCTCCCAGTTTGGACGCCAGCTGCCTTTTAAAAATMAGTCTAGTCTGCAAAGTTTAGCTTTATGTATTTGCCTCCCCATTGGTGTTGGTTGCTACAACACTCCACAGGTGGCCTGATGCTGCCCTCTGTTGCTCAGCTGCTCCTTCCTCAGGTGGCCTGAATGAATCACAGGCACGTCCCGTGGATGGGTGCTTCAGTCTGCATTTTTTGCTGTTTGAGCATTTCTTGGTAGTAATTATTGTGACGCCCATGTACTCCAAAATCCACATAATGTTTTTGCTGTCTCAGCAGGTGACACCTCACCTTGGCTGTCCACTGCTTTCATCTTCCTTGGATGTGATATTTTACTTACCATTAAGCCCACCTGTCTCACAGGTGGCTGTAGCAATGAATCCACTACTTGCTAAAAAGAAAGTCTCAGTGTGGACACTAATAGGAATCAAAGTAAGCTGAGCAAGGGGAAATCATGGTAATAACAAGCATCTGTATTTTGCATGAATTTGTCCTCTCCCTTCCTGCTCTTTGCTAATACAAGCACCCTGCTAACAAATCTCTTTGTGAGAAAGTTGCTGCTATCAGAGAGACATGCAAAGTATTTGATTGTTGTCAAGAGCTTGTCCCTGCTGACGGTGGAGAACTGGGGCAGTTTTTCTCACACAATCAAGTGCGCTTTCTGCCTTCTGAGGGCTTCAGTCCAATATTACTGCTTATTTCCTACAAAATTACTGTTAGAAGCACACATTTTTTTTCATGGAGAAAGGGAACCAGGTGTAAAATGCACCAAATTCTTACATATACATTTTCTTTAGGGCTAAATTGCTGCAAAACCTCCCAAAAGGCATCTAGGGTTAGAATTCCATTTCCCAGCGATGACTGGGGAAACAAAGCACAAATGCAGCATTTCTTTTTTGATTGCAGTGCCAGAGTAGCTAGTGATTGTTTCTGCAAGTCCTGTGGGGACCCTGCACATCTGAAGCTCAGCAGCCTTCCTTGTTTTAGCAGCCAAGAAGCTGGCTCACCCTTCTAGCTGAAGTGTGGATCAGTGGTGTTAGTCTGGTCTATTCTTGAATGTATTAATAGAGGAGACCACATCCCTGAGSGAAAGAGACAGACTTTGGCACATGTAGCTTTTGGAGTTTACGTCCAGATGACAGTAGTTTTAAAAACAATACTGTGTTGAAGATGAGGACTTGGTCTCCTTTTTCATAGTTTCTTTCCTAATTTAGCCTTAAGGAAAAAAATGTGCTCAGAGGGCATCCATAAAAGCTACCAGCTGAAAAGCAACTCTTTACCTCCTAAGCATTTCAAATTTAGCCTGCATTCCAGACATCTATTCTAGAGGCATTAATTTCAAGAAGTTTATAAGGTGAAGCTACTTCCCTCAAACAGAAACATTACCTTCATAGATGGAACTGGAACTATGACTGTTTTACTCACAGTGTCAGTGATTCATTGCTCATCCCTTGGAAAGCATTTCGAGGGATAGTTGTCATACGCAGATTATCACAGAGCTCCCTTTGGGAAGAAAAGTRTTTTTGTCAGCTGCATAGGAACAAGATGGCAAGGCTCATATTGGGTTAGACTGGGTCTCTACTTACAAAATAAAATGAGCTTCTAATGAGAAGATCTGCGTCAGATCTGGAAATTCTCTTATTCCCGTATTACAAATGCTCCTAGAGAAAAGCATAATTGCCACTTACAGCAGAAAGAGTTTCAAGACTGGAATGCGCCAAGAAGCCAACTCTGCAAATACAAAGTTAACTTTAAAGCAAAGCTAACTTTGCTTTAAAAGGTGGGTGAAATACATGATTTTTTAAAATTCAGCTACGATTATTTTTGTAAGACACATAGAAATTATATATGTAGCATTCTCAGGCAGTTTCCTGGAGAAGCTGTGTATGTTGTCTCTACATTAAGCACAAAGAAGAGAATTTTATTTGCCTCTCTTTGCATAGTATCTTGTCTATCTGAAAGCTTTCTTTTAGAAATAAGCACATAGCAGAATTAATTAGCCTATTTTGTTATAGTTTTGTCCATTCCTGGTCTGCCCTGGGTTAATTTATTTTTGGGCCATTAAAAGATCTCACAATTCGTTAACTGCACATTAAAGTTATGGTAAATGAGGCATRTACTTTTAGTGTGCTGCAATGCATGAAAAGCTTCTTTTCTCTTTATACTCCTTTCCGTAATTTGTCTCTTCCTTTAGAGAAAAAGAATACAAGCAGAGAAGGAATAGAAATCTTTCTCACAAGTATTTTAGCYTTGGAAGGTTTCTGAATGCTCCATCCTCAATGTGCAAGAGATTTTTTGTGTTCAAGATTAATCTGTAATGGAAAAAAAAAACTATAGTTTAATCATGATATATTTGGGAGGGACCTGAATTTTGCTAGCAATTGGCCTTATCAGAGAACAGTCAAATGCAGGGTATGATAGAAGGCTCTTACACTGCTAACAGACATACAGCAGTATTAATAAGAAMAACAAGTTGCAATTGTTGAATAAGCAACACAAGATGCTCCTGAAGCAGTTTGGCTATCTATCCCATTTATGGGTGAGAGTTAGCATTTTGGCACAGTCTGCAGGCTCTCTGAGACAGAACTATTATGTTCTGTGTTTGTGGCAGGCCTAATGCAAAATGGGTCTGCTCTATCGTGGAGTTTCAGAGGTGCAAGCACAACACAAGCAAGATAGATAATCTGCCACATTCAAGTTGATCCTGTACTGGGACCTACCGCTTTGGAACTAGGCAGGTATCTGGGATTTAGTTCCTTGCCCAATGCTAACTGCACTGACAACTGTTTTGTATCTTCTTCTTCTAAACCACACACACTGAAATGAAGTCATAGTTGACTTTGAAATCCTGTGATTCTAGGCTAAAACGGGTAAGTAAAACCCTAATTGAGGATTTGTTTCGCTTTGGCAGAGGAACTCGCTGCTGGACTCCGTTATGGGAGTTGCCAGTGCCAGGAACGCTACAAAATCACATGATGATGAATGTGCCTCTAACAGGTGGTCTTGGAGGTGCAGCTGAGAGAGGAACTTGTGTACCTGTGTGCACCCTGGTCCCTGCCCTGCCAGCATACCCTTTGGCATCAACTTGACTTGCAGTTATCTTAGTGATGCTGTCAAGCCAGGAGAGACCAGTTCTTGGATGTTTTAAACTGTTAGGGCACCATGCACATTATGAGAGTGGTGACACAGCACCAGATTCCAGTTGACATTCCACCAGCTTTTTGCTTAGATCTGCAGAAATTGGAGGTAAGTGGAAATGGAGATAAGAAATATTGTTTGCTGATGGCTGCCCTCTCAATACAGATGCGGAAAGCRCTCCTTGATAATCTGATGAACCCATATCTTGGCATAAAGCACAAAGACTCTAGTCCAGTTCTCTCTGCATACATGATTTACAGAATTCATAGGTTTTAGCATATGAAATTGGAGCAAGAATTCAAATCCAAGAACTACACTGAACTGCCTAYCCTGGTTATCTTTTGAAATTACCCTTGAGTGCAGCTTGGGGCAGTGTGAGACCTGTAGAGCATTCAAGATTCAAACATGTCTTCTTGCTAGTCTCCCGTTTCTCTAGCGGCCTTGTTTAGTTTGTTGTTTTGGAAAATAGGCAGCTGACAAGCTCTCTATGCMCAGGAATACATCAGGCCAAATCCTTTATTCCTTAAACCCAGCATTGATGCTAGCGGGAGCTGGACACAAGAAGAGCTGGACAAATCCGCACCTCTTGCTTATGTGAGCAAATAATGAGCTTCAATGTAATTCACTTATAATTAATAATAATAAAAAAGACAGATTTGTCCTCACTCAGCTCCATCATTTTTAAGCCAATCACTGACTATGCGGTGTGGGAAAAAAACTAGGAATAATGCAGTAATRATGTACTGCATCAGATTTATAGTTTCCAATTTCACAAAATATTTCAGAGCATTCTCCTAGTCAGTGCTTGCTCTCTCAGATGCCTGTGCTGTACAGTTCAAGTTGAAAATCAGTACGTGTTCTGTTTGAGTAATATTTTARCACTCAAAAGAAGAGCCATGCATACTAAACAGATGTATTTAAATGTTGCAGGGCTTTGAAAAGTAAAACTTCAAAAAAGAAAGTGACATCTTGCAATTTTTCTCTTCTGTTGTCATCTCAAATTATTTTTGTGCTTAGACGACTAGACAGTGGCAGTAGAAGCAGACACAGAGCTCCATTACTGCCACTGAGCTCACTGAAGGCAATGACACTCTATACAGATGGATGTCTCTGCATGATTCAGATCTCCAAGGCTTGACTTTATAAAGTGTTCCCTATTTTTTATGGTACTTTGGAGAGAGATGTTTCTCATCATAGGTCTAATCCAAAGCCAGCTGAAGTAAGACAGGAAGACTTGGTCCAGGAATACTTCTCTGCAGACTGTTTAGTCCTTGGGGATACTAAATTACAACATGAGACTTTTTTTTTTAAGCTGATACTTACATTTCAGACAAAGTGGGAAGGTTGTCAAATGCACTCGCTTCTATTCTTTCTAGGGAGTCGCTCTGAGAGATTTCACTGTAACAAAAAAAGCAGACACAAAGCAATATATTAGTGGAAGAAATACCAGMAATCAGTTCTCCATTTCATATTTTTCTTTTGTATATGTTTGCTAAAAACCCAAACAATCCTTTTTTTTGCAGCAGCAGCAGCAGCAGTGTCAATGTCTCACCACAGAAATCTTGAGAACCTATTCCTGTAGGGATTGAGAGTGATTTTTTTTGCAGTATTAACCTTTAAACATGCCAACTCTTTTTAATAACTATCTGCATAACAGCCTATCTCCATTTTTCTCAATAAATTGTAGATCAGACATTGACTTGGGGCCAGAACAAAGATAAATAGAGTGAGTCCAAGCCCGCAAGCCTGTTGCTCATATGATTGGTCCCATTTAGTGGYTCTTTCTGCATGAGCAAGGATGTAGATAATGTTTATTATTCTTCAGATGCTATTAAGACAGAGCGATTGTCATCTACCCCACAGATGTACAAACAAATGCACAAATTTGCATTCAGCACGCTGAATATTTTTTGTTTTAAAATGCTATTTTCATTACATATATGCAAGCTGGTAGGAAGYGACTCTTCATCATTAGAGTAGTTAGTGGTTTAGTATTCTTGAAGTTCTGACTTTTTTTTTATTTGAATTAGAATTAGAATTACAATAAGAGAATTTCTATAGAGGCTGCACTGTGCTATGAAGACCTGTAGGAAAAGATGACTTGATTTTTTCATTTGTAGTAGTAAAGAAGAATACATATAGAAATCATATATGGAATATGTATTTACTTCTTACAAAGAAAAAATCATGATTTTTCCAGTAATCAGATAAATTCACAGGTGGATTATTATTTTTGATATCGCAGTAGATATCTGTGAATGAAAAATGCATGTTGAGCGCATGGCSTGCTGCCTGCATGATCTTCTAAGACCCATGAGCTTAGTGTGAAAGGGATGAGACACTGGTGACTACTCACAGGACTTGAGGTGAAAGATTTCTCCAGGCCTGGGGTATAAATTGCTGTCCTTCCAATTGGTTCCTCCYACCTGCTACTGCCTTCCCATTTGCCTCTGTCTAAATGCCTTGTGTCAGTGAGACAGAATAATTTAACAGGTGATTTACAGTTGGTGATGAGTTGCCATATACATGATTTAAGAGGTTTATAATTAAAAAGTATGCATTTTTCAAAGTAATACTGAATCTCAATAAAATTATGAAGTGTTATATAGATTTACTTCAGCCAAGGACATTGATTTCTATGCTCTTAACTTGGAGATAGATTAAAAAGACATAGAAATCAATTAAATTCTCTTTGTGGAAGGGAAAATGTCAATGAACAAAACATATTTGCTGTGAAGATGAGGTTGTGCATACAGCTGGGAAAGGTTTAGCATGAAATCACACAGGTAAGAAAAAGTTTGTAGACTTACTTGGGTTTCCCATCTGAGAATGTTAAGTTCTTGTTAATCATTAGGATAAAAGTGAATGTAGGAATATGGTGCCTTTGGATTGTACTATATTTAATTGCAGTTGAATACACAAAGACCTAGTTTATTTTGCTTTCTACTTGATAGACCTGCAGAAATCCACAAGTCTACAATTTGACCACTTGCGTTTAACCAATGAACATGAAAAATTACATTAATCTAGTTGAATATATTCAGGTTTTTGCATTAATCTTCAAGTCCCTTCCTTCAGGAARTGCAGAAGGTTTTTCTTTTTACTAATTTTTTTTCTTGAAGAGAAATTACTTAACATTTAATGCATATTTTAACATCTGATATACTATGTGCTTTTTATTGGTGAAGGCAAGTCTAAAAAGTGCCCCTAGAATAGAAGCTGGCATTGATTCTGTGGGAGTTCATCTCCTATTCCCAATTGCACTGTTTTGTTATGAACATTTTTCTTTAGTGAACATCCAATGCCAGTAAAATAAAAAATTAAAAGTAAAAGGAGGTTCAAACCTGCCATCTTTTGGTTGGAATAATGACAGTATATGGCAAAATAGGTCAGCTAAACCTTCTAATCTGACTCTTTGTTGCTTCCTCTCCCTTGACAATGTATCATTTTATATCAAAGACCACGAATAATGATGCAAATGTTAAAGCCTATGTTTACCTTGCAGTGTGTACTCAGTACTCATAATTAATTAACTGGAATTATTTCTGATGGAATTTAAACAAATACAAATGTTTGGAAGCTTCAGGTGAAAAACCCTAAATTATAGCTGCATAATGATTTTTATTGTATTTTGAAAGTTTAATATCATCAATAGGGCTAAAGACATGATGTATGATTTTGTTTTTCTTCCCAGATGTGTGCTGTTGTGGATGCCGAGCTTTATCTCTTGGTGCAGAACAGCAAAAAAACTAAACAAAAACAAAACCAAAACAAATCAAAAAACTTACTTGGGCATTACATAAATATATAATGACAGAATCCTGTACCATTCATTGCAGCGATAACATTTTATGATAAATTCCTATAGTCTTTACCACTCAAAGTGCCTATGATCAATTATCAAATTATATCCAGTCCTCTGGGAAATGATAAATGTTATCTTCTGTAACTTAAAAATAACAGGTTTTCAAAGAACCTTCTATATTATACTGCCTAGAAGAAAAAAAATGACTATGTTTATGCTTCCCCAGTTTGTTTTTTTTTTCTCCATGAGTATGTTTTAGCAACATATTTTCAATTATTTCAAACTTAGATTACTTATGATGGGGGTTTGTGATGGAATTGCACACAAGAAATCAATGATAAGTCTATGGAAAACATGGTCAACTTACATGATGAAGGCATCTCTAAGTCCTTCGAAGGCGTGTGAAGGGATTACTTTTACAGGGAGATGAGTAAATGATCTGCAAAATAGAGACAAAGGATTTTAAAGCATAGGGTTCCTCTTTTGTTGGAGAGGAGAGGAGAGGAGAGGAGAGGAAGAGAAATATCCCATAACAGGGCGTAGAAAAACAAAACAAAACAACAACAACAACAAAAAAAAGGTCCTTTATTATTTCAGCTACAGTTCTTTGTACCTTTGGGTCCAGATCCACGTGATCTTTGTGGAACTCCGTGAAATATAGGGAAATATTGGGTCATTTCCCTAACTGCACAATGTTGAGATTTATCACAGCCGAACCAATAATAATCACAATCTATGAGACAAATGGACAGCCAGAGGGAAGCGAGGGGCTACACAAACAGCAGCTACACGCAGGAACTGAGGCTGCTTAAAGACAGTTCCTCAAAAAAAAGTGGCTTTTACTGAAAACTTCCTGTTACTTTACAGAGTGTACTTGTGTGCAGCCTCTGGACCGTGCGCTGCTCTGAGCATCACTGTAACTCTGCGGGTGGCACCAGGACTTCTCCGGCAATACCTGCCATATGCACCAGTGCCAAAAGATCCACATCAGGCCTGATGTGCAAGTGTGTTTAAAAAATCTCATCAGTGTGGTTTACTGATTAAAAGCAAGAATGTGTTTTTCTTTTTAATTTTTGTAATTACGCTGTTCTCACTGAAAAGCTAATGATTTGGAAGGTAGTTCTAATTTTTTAACACTCTACATCCCAGCACTTTTATAGGCTCAAATATCTAGCCGTGACCACACTCTTGCTGATAAAGGCCTTAGGAAAATATTTAACATACTTCAAGACATTATCTTTGTGCAAAGAGATAATTCTTCTGTTTTGCTTTTAAATTAATAAATTCAGAAAAAAAAAAAAAATAGTTTCCCATCCTTAAAAACACTCTGTCAAGGTCTTTGGCTAAAATGTTTCCATGCTGTTTATAAACTTTACTTTCTTTCTCTATTGTCATAATCCTTTATAAGAAGAAATTTGTCTTGGAGTTAAGAATCTGGGTATGCTGCATTGTATGTATATACTTTTGTGACTCTGTTATGGCTTGGCCACACCTGTCTCGACAAATGTGGATGTGTGGGGTGCATGCAGAAGCTTTGTTTACATCAGCACCAAAATTAAGTTATACGTCTTGAAAAATGTATTGCTGCTCAGAGGACTGAGATTTACAGAGAATCCTGCAGCAGGAATCAATTTTCTGAGCCAACAGGGAAACGACTCCAGAACGAAGGAATACGAGTTGAGAAATTACTGCTTCATAAGCATGGAAGCCTGAATCTCTTCCTAACTGTGGCATTAGCCACAGCTCTTYGGGAAACCAGACACACCTTTTGTGAAAGTGTTTACAAAAACATTACCTTCTCMAAAGAATTAGAAATGCTAAGGAAGCTGCAAATAATAAAAGAAATCTTGGCTTTTGACTACACCAAAAACTCTTGCCCCAGCATCTCCTCCCCACCTGKGAGGAGCCAGCGAGCAGCTGGTTGCTGTGAATTCCCTAGGACCGATCCGCTGCCCTCAGGGAGCCTGTCCGACTGGGGAAAGCCCACGGTAACAGTGCTCCTAACTCCGCCACSTCAGGTACGGGATTAAATTTCAGCAGGATGAACCCGCACTTTACTCTTACTCTACTTTAACTACTCCACGTGAGGTAGTTAAAATGCAGGGCAGCACTTAATCCATTCTGCATTTCAAGTTACTTGGCTCTTGTTTCTCAGTTCTTGTGCATCCACCTGGATGGTCGGCACTGTGAGCTCATGTGCACTGGCTCTACCAAGTCCCAATACACATGTCACAGAACAGCAACAACCAGAGAAGGCAGCAGTTCCTAACTGCTCTCTTACCCCTCACGATTCTGGTGTAGGCACCAAGATACACGTTCATGTAGTCAAAGCTGTCTTAAACTCACCTTAAAGGTGGAAGAGCACAAGTGGACAAGAACAATGTTCTTGCTGTTTTTCTTGCTCATTTTACCTTTGTGGCTTGTACCTTAAACCATGTGTTCTTTAGTAATATCGTTTTATACTCCAGCCATTTTGAAGAAGGTGCTTTGGCTTGCTGAGCCAAATCCAGCCTGTGTATAAGCATTTAGGTTAATGGAGTCTTGTTTCCGAAGCACAGAGTAAAGCTGGGCCTTATCTCATGTGCTAAGGTCTCTGCTATTGAACATGACTGATGCTTTTGATAGCACAGAACGAAACTCAAGCGGGTACTGGCAGGAATTAAATATTGATTTCTTTCTGATAGCAGCCAGATTGTGACACTCAGATGTGACCCGTTATTCATCTCTCAGAGCTGAGGAAGCTTTTGACAAAAAAAAAAAAAAAAAAAAAAAAAAAAAAAAAAAAAAAAAAAAAAGAAAAAGAAGGGCAAACTGAACAAACTGCCTTTTGCAAAGCTACAAAGCTCTTTTTAATACATCTGTTTTTTTAATATGCTACCAGCCTGACTTCTGCCTATCAAATGAGGGCTGTATACATTTTTAATACAAGTTACCGACACCAGCTTGAAAYACTATATATTTAGTCACAGCAAGAACATTTTTTTCCTACTTTTAAGAAAATCTGTAATGTTTCTTTTGTATTTACCACATCCTAACTTACATCCCTTTACTCTTCATTTCACAACTGACCATACTATTGCCCAAGATATTAACTGCCCAACTGCTGAGCCTTGGAACTGCCATCCTGCCAAGGAAGGCGAGGAGCCGGAGTTGAGGGCAAAAGGCTTGAAATGGCCAGGCCGAGACTATGCAAGAATATTGGGAGAGACAGGAGTGGCTCCTGGATTTACCAGAGCTTCTCCTTGCTTGGTGACTAAAATGCTGTCCTTCCCATTAGTCTGGAGACGGTTTTTCATGGGAAGGGTTGTTTTGCTATTACGAGGAATACTGTGGCCAGCAGACACCATGAGAGACATACAAAGCCCAGACCACCTCTATACCCCTTTCAGTAAATGTACAGATGTAGCAGTAAGAGCTCTATGGAAGACGTTTATAGAGTGGCCTGTTCCAAAGAAGTACTGCCATAAAGCCATGATCATCCTCTTCTTGATACTGGCGTAGAACAGAGGAAATGGGCTAAACTCGACAACAAACTATTTCTATCTGCTAAAAAATACACTTCTGCTCCAACACKGCCATACAGACTCAGGATCCAGGTGGAGCAAATGGGAAGCCTAGATGCACAAAGACCCCASGACCATTCGCAGCCCCGCTGATGAAGAATCAAGGTCCAACCCATGCTGGTAAGGTCTCTGCATTAAAGGGATTGAACACACACACACAAAAAAGTGATTAATTGAACTACAAATATTGAACTATAAAAATTGAACTATAATAAAAAAAGAGTAGTGGCCCTGTAGCAATGAATGTATGAATGTTTTTCTGTAGCTGGGTTGGCTGGTGTGTTCTAAATTGCTATTTTGTAGGACCACCTGTAATTCCAAGTATATTAAGGTGAATGCACAAGGTAGATTCTTGCTGAYAGTGGCAAAAATTGTATTCTGTTGTATCCCTGAAGTCAAGTCAGAACTCAGAATATTGACTGAAAATAAGATTGAAAAGCCACAATTTTCCCCTCTATTTTTTTTCAGTTTCTGGGAGCAATGTATTGACATTGATTTTTTTTTTAGGACCTGAATTGGGCCTTACCTACTTGAAATGCTGGATATGATGCTGGATATCGCACACACAGCCAAAGAACACACCAGGTGATGATTATCTTCTCTTAGAAGACACTTTGGCCCTTGAATTGCATTCCTCTAGCAATCTAAGAGAGCCCAATAGGTACAGAATGAAGACAAAGCAGAAATGTCTGCTTGCTCAGGTTTTTGCCCACGAGCTCCAGATTTAGAGCTTGAAACTACTCGCGTGTAGGTCATTATAACTCAGAGGCCCTGCACACAGGTGCATACGCTCTGGCACAGCTTCACCTACTGTGAAGTGAGATTTCCAAAGGGTTTTAAAGATATTAGGTATCCAATGCCAGTTACAGAATGACTGGAGTTGGATGCCTATTCGCCTAGAATTTGCTAAAAGAAGAAAAAAAAATGGATGTACACTATGAGACTTCAAAAGAAGAAAAATAATGTTTTGTTTCAACATAGAATGGTGTATGAAACCTGCTGAGGTTTCCAAGATGCAGAGTTGCCATAGCCAGAATGGTATACACGGGTGTCTGGATAATGGACTTTCTGTAAATCTGTGTAACATCCAAATTAGAAACATGAGCCTGAGAAAAATATGATCAATTCAGCACCATAAAAAAAACATAATTCTGCAACCTGTTGAAGACTAATCATTCTGAAAACTCTTCCAGCAACAACGAGAGAACAACTCTGGTAAATAAAACTGCTGAAATTTCCCCAGAGAATTTATGCTTGTACTGTAATAAATTATTAAAAGGAGATTTGTAAGCACTGAGCCTTCTGGTATCAGGGGTTGAATTACTCAGGTCTAGCTGCAGTTATATTTTCACTATTTTTTTTTCCTATCCCATCATACTGCTAATCAGGACTTCTCTGAGTTGTAGTGGTCTCAGTGTAAGAATATGGGCACCCAAGATGTGCTGCATTTTGGTAATGAAGAGTTAGAGCCTTGTCTATCCCTACCTTCATGCCAACCCCCCTAAAAAAAAAAAATATATAGCAAAGTAGGAAAGTTTCTAAATCATGGCAAAAGAGGAACAGAAAAATAAAAGATCTGTTCAGAACTCAAAAGTCTTAGTCTTAGTTATGTCAAATTTGGCCTAAGAAGGTGCTAAGAGCATAAGAAGGTGCTATATGAAGATCAAAGATAGAGGTGAAGGGAAAGTAAAAGAAATGGAGTAAGAACTAAATAAAAGACCATGAATTCCTGTACATCTGAATCTGTACATTTCCTGGTACACTTTTCCAATTGAATGCTTTCCCTTAAAAAGAAATGCAAAGGAAAAGACATTTAATTGTATATTTCCAAGTTCATAACAAATCAGGTTGCATGTGGCCTGAAACTAGTAGGAGCCATAGCAGCTG